GGATGAGGAGTTTAGAGTTGTGGAAGTGAAAAAAGCGCCATCGTTTTCGCACCATCCGGAGATGAGGTCGATGTTGCGGGCGAATTGGCCGGTTCGGAGCAGCTTAGAGGGGGCATCAGGGATGAACGATGAGGGGGCTGTGGGGATGAAGACGCCCATGCCGCCCATTGAGTTGAGGGAGAGTTCGTAGGAGTAGGCCGTGTTGAGGAGGGTCTTCATTGGAAGACGGCGCAGGCATTCCAACTCCTCTCTGCTGGAGGACGCGGTGCAGTTGACCAGGTTGGTTAGGGTGGCTGTGTGCTTGCTTGAGGTGTTGGTGGTAGTTCCGGGGTCGGCGTTGGCGCCGCCTGATTCCATGATTGCGCGACGGAAGGGCACTTTGGGCACCTTGCCGCCATAGGCTGTCAGCTGCAGGCCAACGCCTGTTGCGCCGTCACTTTCGCCGAAGATGGTGACCTGGTCTGGGTCGCCGCCGAAGGCTGCAATGTTGTCTTGGACCCACCATAGGGCTAAGCGCTGGTCCAGCAGACCAGCGTTCAAGGAGTCAGATTCGTTTAACGCAGGTGATGAGGCGAATCCGAAGATGCCGAGACGGTAGTTCATCGCAACGTAGATGACGGGGACATCCTTTTGGGCGGCTCCGTAGACCAGGAGGCTTGGATCATAGGCAGAGTCGTAGATTTGGCCGATGGTGTCGCCGCCACCGTAGATCCAGACGAGAACTGGTAGACGGTCTGAGGGAGACGTGTTGAGTGGCCGGTCGACACGCAGTGTCAGACAGTCCTCAGAGATGGAGGTGACATTGTCAAAGATCGGAAAGTCAGCAATAGGGTCCTTTTGCTGGGGACAAGCTGCACCGGAATGAGTGGCATTCACCACAGAGCCGGAGGGATAGTTGTAAGGTTTCGGGTGAGCAAAACGGTTGCTCCCGCTCGTGTCTTCACCAAAGCGGATGTTGAGGAAGGATTCGGTCAAATCGCTTGCCGTCCCCTTGAACGAGACGTTGGAATCAGGGAGATGCACTGTAGGGATTGTGCTCGAGAACAAAGGGCGGGCAAGGCCCAATGTACACGGTGCTCCGAAAAGAAGAGAGAAAAGAGAGAAATGCATTGTTGGAGGTAAGTCTGGGTTGAGACAAGAATCCCCTTCTTGCGGAATTCGAGGCCCTTATATGCAATGAACTGCTCAGCCTCGTGGCAGGGAATTGATGTTGTCAGGGTTTGAGGCAATGAGACCTGGCCGGTCATAATTGGCTGGACGTCAGGATTTCCCCATCGAGAAGGCATCGCGAAAATCTCATCGTAATGATAGGCTCTTCTCTGAGCTGGTTAAGATCTGGTATCAGCACTAGTGTGTTCTTTCCATCGAAAAGCTGCGATCGGGATGCAATGCGGTCTGACTCAGCCTCATTATCAAAATTGTCTTCGTTTTTGCCTGACCCATTGCGATGGGTCATCAATGAGTAGGCTACAACCAAAGAAAGATATCTCTTCACATCTTTCTTGTTTAATGAACTAGTTATACATCTATTTTTGGTGAAATCAAAAGACGTAAAAGGAATGAAAGTGATCATGGCACAAATTGATGACCCCTGGGTGTATAGCGAGTAGGCCATATCGCGAAGATTACCAATGACGACGGCCTTGATTCAGTTACAATCGGACAAGTATCTCTGGCCATTATTTAGATCTGATGTTTGCTGGAATGACTCGGACCGCCGGATGTATTATAAGGAAGGGTATCTCATTGATTTCCCACGACCTCTCAACAGGTTTGAACATAGAGACTGCATACAGCAAGCTGATATATCTCACAAATTGCTGAGAAAATCAAAATCTACAATATCAAGTGCACACAGTATCTCGCTCGCCGCAATTGAATCTTGGGAGTACTCTATGATTATTACGTGGGATGAATTTAAGGATGGAAAACCTGCAAATGATTCAGTGCTGTGCATGAATAGTATATTATTCACTCATTATTTTGTCTACATATTTCAGCTGATAGTTACTTCTACCCCAAATTGTATCCAGATTTATTTTAACTGTTGCTGTCATTAAAAGCATCTTGAAAGTCCACATAGCATTTAAGAAAATTCTTTGCAGTCCTGATCAGCTGTGAAGGCACCGAAAATACAGCACACATCTTTCAACCTCAATTTTGTACAAATCCACAACTATAAACGCAATTTATGTTCTTAGAGCCTCGTTGCCATGTTTTACAAGAAATTGAGAGCTTTCCTACTGAGCAGCCTATGAGGCGATCGCAAAATCGTCGAGTACAGGAACCATCTTGCTTCATTTTCCTCGATAACTGGTATTGGGACTGATCGTAAGGGAAAGTTACATAATAGGCGGAGATGCAACCCTTGTGCGGGTGTATATACTTCTAGATTACCCGCGATAGTGTTTCGCATGGTGTCATGAATCCAACCCTAACTATGGTTTACTGGACCTAATGTAAATCCTGGTGATATATTTGCACCTAATTTGGACTCTATGATGAAGAACAGCGCCGCCCGCACTATGTAGTCAGTGTTACGGGGGCTGCCCTGGCGTAATACAGGTCATTGACATGATTCATAACAAGCGCAGCAACGTACACAGACTCACATCTGATGTACACTTCCAACTCATATGCATTCAAACAGAATAGCAAATACAACTTCCTACTACCTAATTTCAAAATTTTAAGTATGCAAAAAGCACAAAAACATACAACAGAAGGGATTCGCTGGTGGTCACCCACCCAACTACTAACCTCCCGGCGTGTGGCTTAAGTACGGCTGAGCGGACGGGAAGCCCTGTTTTCCACACCCTGTGGTCGTATGTACTATGACACACATTGGAAGGAATCATATAGAGCAAATGCAGACATTTTCTGAAAATAGAGAAGTTTTTGAGGAAGTCCCGCCGAGGAATCCTGGTCAAACACAGCATATGTAGAATAGATACGAAGATCGATATCCAAATCCAAGCCGTCGTGGGTGGGTATGGAATTGCCGCCCTACTACAGCCCCTCACGAAAGTTTCTTACGTTAAAGTTGGCTGGGGATCGTAAGATGCGGATTCCCGAGATTTAGATAGCTGTGGATCTCAGAAATCTACCTAGCAGGGTATCAATGCGACGATGCTCTGTTTACATGTGGCTGTGGATCGGTCTGGAGCCTCTAACATTGTTTCGCCCATTCGGTATCAACATCATTGTTCCTTTCAGTAAGGTTCAGTTAGGATATAGCCAAGGATGGATCACTGTTTCAAATCCACCCAGAATCTGTCTTATCTTTTGTCTGCATTAGTCTAATAATCGAGGGAGTCGAATCCTCCAACGCAATCTGCAGATCATATTCCACGGTGGAGCCGTGTTAAAAATATTGTGAGACAATATTAAATCAATCTAAAGCAATATATGCTTACGGTATGCAGCGATAGGATGGATGATATTGACCTGTGAGGTCGTTTACAGTGGCTTTTGGCTTTCGAAGTAAACTTTCGAACTTCATAGGTTCCTCTGTATTAGCTGAAATAAATCCACATATTGACGTCCAAGCACTGTATCATTTATACAAGAAGCGTCTCCATGTAAATTAAAGCTCCGAAGTAAAGCGCCACCCAGTCTTGGAAATTCGGCTCGCAAAGACGCTGAATATCGAGACTAGAAGGGTTCCACCATCAAACATTTGAAGTACTATCCAACAACCATGACGAAGAATAGCACCGCCCAACGGAGTGCCAATAAGAATGCCCAGGCTACTCACTGCGTTAACGATACCCATCCTGACTCCAGCAACGTCAACGGAGGGACTGAGTCTGACGAAAATGCTAAAAGGGACTGTCATAAATCTCCCCGCAAATATGCTATATAGTAAAGTAAAAATTATAAGGCTGCGGCTTTTCGGATCCCAACCCTCACAAAGGATAGGACCGCCAGGCAAAACACTTTGGTATTAACATGGCTCATTGGGCCTGTCTTATCCGCTTCATACTGTTCAAAAGGCACGGAGATAAGTATCAGTGGCAAGGATGAAGGAGTGGGTTATCCTTGCATACAATAGGTATAATCTGACCTGCTACTGATGCAGCGTTGAGGATAGGTAGAAAGTAACTAGCAAGCGTGTAGGAGATTGCATAACTAATAGCATATGTGTTGTCACATTGTAAAGAGGCATATACATACCAAGGAAGCCCAATGAGGCTCTGAGTGTGAAAAAACAAAAAGAGGGCTCGTTCCACGCCGAGACATCGAACAACTTGCGAGCAGCCGAAGGCTGGAATCTCGTTTTCATAACTGATAGTGGCAAGACAAGCGTACAAAACATGAAGAGTGCCATGACCCAGGTAGGGCCACCGAAGCTGACGAATTCAACGCTCTGCTGAAAGATAATGGAGTAAAGGACACCTCCTAGGAAGCTCACATTGGGAGTTAGACATCTGAGCAGGTCAACTTTACCAAATATAGACCGATGCCGCTGCCGCTTCTAGACACCCCAATAGCCAATGCCAGATGTGTCGAATAGTATGTAGGCAATAGCACAATACTGGGAAGAAAACACTCCCTCACCCTAATCACATAGTAATACCTTATGCGAACACAAATTGCCAATAATCTTTGCACAGGCTTGTCACGAGACATGCCGAACACCATAAGAACAGTCCCTGTCGCTAGCAAGTGACGGATATACCCGTGATCGTGGAGAGGTTCTGCGATCAGACCTCAAAAAGACATAAACATGTCTGGATAAAGCCTATGCAGGCGACGTATGCGTTAGCCAGGCTGATGGGATTTAGAACATTGGGAAAACGCATTCACTGTATTTTGACCTATATCTCAAAGATACTGGTAGAGTAGCAAGCGTGTTGACATATATTATCGCCTTTGACTGTATAAACATACATATACTTTTCTGCATCTCCTCAGTATCCTGACAACCACCTATACCTTGCATGAAACCAAAATCGAGAGCACAACGCTTACATAGGGCTCACCAAGCATCCAACACATCAGAGGGCCCTATCCGCCTGCATTTTTCGAATCATGACGCTACGCTCACGGATTCGGTAGCCATAGAGGTAGAACACCACCGGAATCGCAACGCAGACGGCTTCGACCATTCCGAGGAGAAATCCCGCCCAATGCAACCCCAAAGTAGCATACATAGAAGGACCTGCCAGGGGAAGCAAGGCTCCAAATATGCTGCGCAGCACGGCATTCCCCGCCAAAGCTGACGCGGCGTAATCATTATACGACTGTACAAGGTAGTTGCTCATGTAGATGAAGACACCCGCATTGCCAGCGCCAAATGGAACACCAGCGAGAATTGGTACAATCCAATGTACGTTCGGTGTGGATGTCCAAGCAAACCAAATCTCGCCTGCCGCTAACAGGACAGCCGAAACACAGATAACGCTGACCATTGCTTCAGGGGGCACCTTGCCAGTGGCGTCCTTCTTGTGGGAGTTGATGATCTTTCTCAGGATTGGTTCAAAAGCGATGGTAAGTACTGATCCGCATCCTATACCTAGATAAGCCAGACCTCCGATGCCAGGAGTCCAGCCACGGTACTTTTGAAAGGCGAGAGGGTAGGCGACAAAGCAGAGATATAGCACACCATAGACCAAGGCGACGTAAACATTCCAAAAAATGCTGCAAAGTAACCTTGTTAGCCAAGCATTCACGAAGGAATGCAAGAAGAGATAATTATGGGGAAAGGGATCTCATTACCAGATGGGCTCCGTTACCATCATGGTCAACGGCCGAGTTATATTAATTTGGAGATAGGTTGCAAAGTCCAACTGATTATCATAGCGACTCCACCATTTGGGGTTTCCTGTCTCCTTCCTCATTCTAAGCGCCCGTTTGCGCAGAAGAAATGGAGCATAGGTCTCCTTGATAGTCAGGACTAGTAGAAAGGCAACACCACCGAGAATCATAATAATCCAGTCAAGCCATCTCCAGCCAAGGTATTCAAAGATGAATCCTCCAATAATGGGTCCAATAACAGGTCCATTTGTAGGCCCGAGAGACCAAAAGCCGAAGGCGAAGGCCCGATGCTTCTCGGAGACGATATCATTCACAGAGCCAGGAGAGTTGGACATCATAGCACTGCCAAAGAATGCGGTGAAGAAACGTGTGATCAGGATCGTCTGTATATTTGTTGCCAATGCAGATGGCAACACAAAGATCGTAAACAGAGTGATCGAAAAGATATAGATGGGCCGACGCCCGTACATCTCGCTCAAGGGAGCAAGAATCATGCTTCCCACTGCCATACCTATTAGGTAAGTGGTCAAACCCAGGAGGCCGACGGTTTTGGATATATGGAATTCCTCTTGTAGTCCCGTGATGCCAACCGTATAGGAGGTACTAAATAAACTGACAACAGTCGCACCATAACCCATGGTGAAGATAGCAAGGCACTTGTGTAACGCAGACCAATTTTTCGGATTTTCAGGGTCATCCTTTGACCAAACCACCTCATAGGCTAAGTGATCGTTCGAATTGGTGTCGGTTTCATTGCCGTCGATGAGAGTGCTGGGCTTAGAGTTTTCTGAGACAGCCTGGTGCTCAATGTCGCATTGACGTTTGGACACAGTTTCCATGGCTATAAATGCAAAAGAGTGACAGAAACGGAGAACGAAAGTAAATATATAAGATTGGGAGAGTTATCAAATGGAGACACAGCTAGTAGTATGGCGCCGTACTTGACCAAATCACCGCAAAGTACTAATCAGCGAAAAGGGTCGATAAGATGTTTTTATACTACTATGCCACACTTGCGCCGACCTACTACGACGGGTCCGGAGTGTTGAGAAATCGGTTTGCAACCACATAATTTGCTCTTCATCCACTCTGGGAGCCCTCCTTTTGCCTGGGTGGGATGCCCGATTATTGAAATTTTTTTCGGACGGAGTAAACATTAGTTATACCTTCATGGGTCGGGCTCCACTTGAGGGCTGTACGGCATCATTCCCCTTTGGGTTCAGAATTCCGCCAAGACCGATCATCCGTATCTTGGATCTTGTGATGGCAAGGCTGCTCGGGACCCACCATTTCGGTCTTCAAAATGGGGCAAAACTCGGAAGACTTGTTGTGCCTCCGGACCAATGCTACGAATGTATTATGGCGTTAGGATTCCCGTTCAACAAACTTTGCCATCGCGTCCTCGGCCATATCATATCAATCCGAATATCGAAAAACCCTCAATCACGCTGGGTCAAAGTATCCATATATATTAATAACGTTATAGGGGAGGTCAACAAGTGATGGACAGCACGGAGCAAAGGTGTATCAAAAGCATAAGGACAGGTATCTAAACACAGCTTTTTAGCTCTGTACCTAGTATTAAACTGTTTTGTGGTCCGGGGATATTTTTATTTTCATTTTTATTTTTATTTCTTTTTCTTCTAACTATTTTCATTCTTCTTTCTTTTTTTCTTGGCATAGGTCTGTGACAAAGAGCAACGGGTCGTCTGAAGTTCTACTCCACAGGATCTGGGATAGCCTCTTATAACCCCCTTTTCATCCTTTCACTCTGCAATAGTATCCGGCGGCATGCTCATATAAGGAGGGATAATAGGCTTTGGTGGCCATGGAGCTGCATTAAACACACACTTAAAACTGTGCCTGCCAGAACTCACATTATGCATAGTCTCTTCTTTGACAGTATAGTCTGTCCTAAGGTCGGAAGGTAAAGTGACTAGGGCAGACGTATTGGGTGGCACAATAAGATCCATCTTAAAATCATTGCCGTCAAGGGTCCACTCGCACACGATTTGACCGTATGGTCCATCAAATGACACTTTCGCGTGTGTCAAATTACCCCCAGGGACAGGACGGACTCGAAAAACACGCCATCCAGGCTGAATGGGTGAAATGCCACCGACGGAAGCGTGTAACCAATCTGCTACTGCTCCGAGAGCGTAGTGATTGAAACTGGTCATGGACCCTGGATTGATACGCTTATCCGGTAGCATGCTGTCCCAACGCTCCCAAATCGTTGTCGCATCCATGTGCACAACAGGCCAGAGCCAGCTAGGGCACTTAGTTTCCAGTAACATCCGATACGCCAGCTGTGGCCTTCCTATAGCTGTTAAGGCGTGGCAGATTGCAGGGGTTCCAACAAAGCCTGTGCTGATGTTAAAGCCGGCCTTGCGAATGAGTCGCTCCAGGGTTTCAGCAGCAGTGCGACGAGCGGTGTCATCTTGGTATAGTGCAAATTGTATGGCCAGTGCAATGCTAGTTTGTGATGACGACATGAGATTGCCTTCAGGCGTGAGATACCGTCGTTGAAACCCCAGCTTTAATCGGTAGACATCTTTAGAATACCTGTCCGCGAGGTTTGCCTTCCCCAACACCTCGCAAAGACGTGAAAAGACTTCAGTAGTGTGAATGAGATAGGCGTTGGCAACTAGGACACTATCTGTACGTCCATTCCCTGGGTCCTCTGGTGGTGCACTCGGATCAAGCCAGTCACCGAATTGCCACTTGTCTGGGTGCCAGAGGCCATCCGTTGCCCGATCAACCCCATTATCTAGCCAGGTTTGCATGCTATGAAACTGCCTCTCTAGCAAGAGCTTATCAGAGCTGTATTGATAAAGTTCGCTTGGGAGAAGCACTGTAACGTCGTCCCATATGGCCTGAGCAAAGTGTGGCCAGTCGACAAGAGCATTCGGAACCACGAGCGGAGGGACGCCACCTTTGCCGTCCTCTAGTTGCTCCGCAGCAACGTCCTGAAGCCAATTGAGAAGAATACCGGTTGTATCGTATAGAAAGCACGCTGTTGGAGCAAATATCTGTATGTCTCCGGTCCATCCCAGTCGCTCATCACGCTGTGGACAGTCTGTGGGGAGAGACATGAAATTGCCGCGCATAGACCAGACAATGTTATCGTGCAGCCGATTGACCGATGAATTAGAGCAATGAAAGTGGCCTCGCCGGCGCATGTCGGTGTGAATGACGAGCGCCTGAATATCTCGCATTGAAGGGCCTTTTCCAGGCCAACCAGTTACTTCAACATACCGGAAGCCATGATATGTGTATCTTGGAGACCAATTGTAGATGGTCTTGCCGGAACCAATAATGATATCACGCGCCTTCGCATCCTGCAGTGGTCGAGTACCCAGTTCTCCTTCCTCCAAAACCTCAGCATGACGAAGCAGCAACTTCTCGCCTTTACCAAGGCTGACTGACGGTATCTGCAATTTTCCGACCAGGTTTTGTCCAAAGTCAAGTATAATCTTGCCCGATGCACTTCGAAAAACTTGCTTACAGAGTACCGTCTCTGTAACCCTGATAGGCGGCGCGTCCACTGCAACCAGCTTAGCTGTCTTCCATGGGAGAACTTTAACGTCGACAGCACGCGAAGCTGGCCAATTGGTGCCCATAGTAGCCCAGTCGTCCACTTCTTCGTTGTGGTCATATACCTCCCCGTTGTAGATGCCAGCGGCCAAAATGGCACTATCAGTGCAGGACCAGGAGTCATCTGAAAGTAGCGTCCACGGCTCTAAGCCATTGCCGCTACTCATCACCTCGAGTTGCGCATAGACTCCCAACTCGTTGCCGTACATGAAAGAATGCCCAGGATCGAACCCGAGTCGTCCTGCGTACCAACCCTCGGCAACCTCGATGGCCAAGACATTCGTTCGGCATGGAGCAAGGAGAGAGGTCACGTCATGAACTCGGTAAGGAAGCCTATGCTTGTAGCTTGTCCAGCCTGGGGCAAGACACTCATCTCCGACACGGTTACCATTAATCCAAGCTTCGAACACACCATAAGCGGTCACATAGAGGCGAGCACGATCACCGATATGGATGTGGGGTGGAAGGTCGAATGCCTTTTTGAAACGCAGAGGCCGGAGCGGTCCCTCTGTCTCGATATTCTTGGCAGGACCAATGAAGCATGCTTGAAAATCTGTGTCTTCTAGAAGAGCTGCCTCTACCTCACTGTACGGAGACCATGGGCTCGGTATTTCACGAGCGTACGCAACATCTGAGCTGTCTGTTTTACCCCATACACGCACGCGTACTTGAGCGCATTCTCGAGACCTTAATGGCTTGGCAGGCCATGGTACTAGAAGAGACTGGTCGCTATGGACGTGATAGACTTGAGCAATGGGTGCTGACACAAAGAAGACTTCTATTTCATATGCAGACTGTAACCATGCCCCGACGGTCGACATAGTTGATTCGAAACGCCATGAGACTCGAGGAGTAGGAGTATCTAGCCCAAGTCCATTGGCATGGTGTTCGAAAGTAGGAGCGGTAACAGTCGGAATGGACATGGTGTTATCGATAAATGTGAAGATGGGAAACAATTGTCTCGCGGTAGACGGAGCCGTTCCACATTTATGGTTTAATCCACAAAAAGAGCCACATGACGGGACCGACTAGGGTACTTTAAAAGTTTCGGTTCGGAGCATTGCCTCTGCCTGTTAGACCAATAATCGGAAGCTATCCGGTGTTCCGAATTTTGGAAACTATGACTCCACATCTGCTAACGCCAAAAACCACCCTTCGGCCTATTGGTACACCGATTGGCGAGAAAACCGGCTTATCAGCACTGATGAAACGAGACGCGCGGGTTAAACTTATAATGGAGGAGAAATATAATTAATCATTTATCGCCCGCAGCATTGTTGATGGGGAACTGCTTTGATTGATCTGATTGATCTTCTTGCCTTGAATCGCTGCTCGAATATACGCTCCCCCCTTCCCCCTCCAAACGAACAAAGAAAAGAAGGTCTGCAATATCCTTACCCTTGAGTTCCGTTTGATGTCTTAAGAAAGCCAAGGGGGTGCTTGAGTATAGATTTGATCTCTATCACTTTCATTGCTTGATTGACTTGCTCCTTCGGTGAACACCTGAAATTGTACGTCTGTAAGAACTAGAAAGTGGTTTGGATGCTAGTATACGTGCGGTATTTCTTTCTTTCTTACCTGAATAACCAAAAGTACCCGATGACCACTGATTTACCTCCATATACTCACAATATGAGCTTCCTACTACATGGCCTTCCTTCCGGTATTGAACACAAACTTCATGAACTTTTCAGGAAATGAAGGTTCTGGTCGCCCCTATTCAAAAGGATGGACTGTCAACCTACCAGTAGATTTGATTAAATCATAGCTAGAGCCGGGTACAGCATTGCTGTTTGGTCAAAAGTACCCCTAAGTAAAACATAACTTGCTGCCATCTAACAGTGGCTCTCTAAGATACCTACTTCAAAGAATTGTAACAGACTCTCCCGGAGTAAGCCAGCGGACCTTCTCCTCCACCCCTCCTTCTTTGAAGGCAGATTTCAAATCATTCCCCATCTGAGTAAAGTGACCCCAGGATTCATAATGCATCGGCACCAAATGCTCAGCGCCGAGCGAGTGAAACAAGCTGGCTGCTTGTTTGCCGTCCATGGTGATCTGTAGGGGCTTTCCATCCGGACTAGGGCCGAAAGCAGACCCAAGGTTCATGATAGCCACCACGATATGAAATTGCTCGGGGATCCGCGCAAAATCATCAATCTTGACTGTGTCACCAGTGAACCAAATGGCATTGGGTCGTCCATCATCATGACAACCAAATCGCTCTGTTGTGAGAATAAACCCAACACACTCGTCACCAGGCACATGCTGGCACGGAGTTGCTGTGATGGTGTATTCTGCTCCGCCGAGTAGAACCGTTGTTGTCTCCCAAGGTTTCATTCCCCGCACAGCTGGACGAGGCGCTAGGTTTTTGGCGCCATCCACAGTGGTAAAAACGTGGCGACCATCCAAGAGCTGGCGGCCTAGATGGTCGAGGTTGTCGGGGTGATCCTCGTGGCTTAGTAGTACAGCATCAATCGGGGGAAGTTGGTCCATGCGAAGGGCAGGGTCCTCTGTGACCTCGAGGGCGAAATCCTCAGTGATTGGCCACTTGGCGCCTGCAGGAGAGAAGAAAGGGTCGGTGAGGAGGTTAATGTTGTCGATATGAAGCACCGCGGTAGCTGTACCGATATGGGTGATGCTAAGGCTACTCTTGAAAGAGGCCATTTTGATTATGCCTGTCAACGGGAAGAGGAACAAGGAAGGTTTCTTGAAAGGCTGCCACGATTCGAAGTGTACTAGGACTGAAGGGAGATATGAAAGTCAAAGAAATTCAGGTACTGTAATGGTATGTTTAGCCTTATATACCCCTTTCTCGATACGAGCGCATTGGGGTTAGTGGCTAGTAGAGCTACAAAGTCAATGACACTGACAGTGAGAGCTTGTGGATCCTTCCGCTTATGGACATATTTTCCGCCAAGCCAGCAGAATATCCACTTGGTGGCGGGCAAAGATGCTTGACCCGAATCTCGTCAATCTATCCTTCGTTTCGGGCAGTGCCACTGATGACGTTGCGTCACTGATTAGTCATATTAATTTACGGGGTGTTCATCCTCCGATACATGTTCCTTAAAAGGTAAATCAGGCTACAATCATCTTTGTGGACCTGAGGGCACCATGAACTTCAGATTTCGATTTGTTTGTAAGGTTCCGAGTCCAAATTGAATCCATTTTCAGCTCTACAAAACATGTAGCAGCATTCTCGGTCCGCGCGGATAGAAGTCGGGCTATGTTAGCCATCACCTTTCTGAGACCACAGAAATGGATATCTGTTTGATTTGATTCTCCCTTCTTCTGCATATTCACATACTCCTTCCCACAGTCCTCTACTCACATATAATTTCCAAACTCGCTTTATTGCTCCCATATGCCCAAGCTCGATTTGATGAGCAGGGTGCGTGAAGCACGAGCTTCTGGTCTCAGCAACCCGGCTTGGCTAACAGCGCACCCAGATGAAGTTAATCAGGTTCCATCGCGGGAGCATGACCGCACTATACGAGTCCACGTTTACAACACGCGCAAGGAAGTCCAAGGGCCTGTGCCAGTATTAATCAACTTCCATGGGAGTGGTTTCATCATGCCCTTGCATGGCAGCGATGACGAGTTTGCATTGTCTGTGGTGCGCAATACTGGCTACATGGTATTGGACTGCTCCTACCGGCTAGCTCCTGAGCATCCCTGGCCAGCCGCTCTACAGGATGCTGAAGACGTTGTTCGCTGGGTGCTGGCACAACCAGCGCGTTTCGATCTGTACAGCCTTACACTTAGTGGCTTTAGCGCTGGTGCAAATCTGGCCTTGGTGCTTAGTACGGAAGTTCTTCGTGCGCACACTGTCAGCCAGGTAGTCGCTATCTATCCGGTCACCAACTTGGCGTGTAACTTCCGGCTGGAGTTGGCACCGGATACCACGGGCCCGGATGCACTTCCCGTTGAGATGATGGAGCTTTTCGTCGAAGCTTATTTACCTGTGAATTGCGATCCCGGGAATGTTTTTGTCTCGCCTGCGTTCAGCCCAGTTGAGAAATTCCCCAATCGTCTATTTATTGCTACTGCGGCCAGAGATCGTCTTTGCCCGGCAGCAGAAGAACTGGCTGAAAGAATCGGCAAGACAAATAAGTATGTGGAGACAGTCAGGTTTTCTGGATGCGAACATGGGTTTGACCGGGAATACATGCGCGGCTCGCTGGAGGAAATGGCAAAAGATCATCTGTATGATCGGGTGGCTGCATTCTTGAACGGTTGTTGATGACCGCCTTAGATGAAGTGAAACAAGGCCACAAAGGATGATGTACCATTGTGTACCTGATAGTCAATGCGCCCTGTCTAAGGCGTTTCAGCGCAAAGAAACTTGGAGTACACCTCTACCATGGAGCGTACGCACACCTCTGTAGGAATATTAACCATCATCTTTTTTTCTCGTGGGTTATATAAACAATTTGTATGCCTGGAGTTTGTAACCTGAACTCCTCTTCCAAAGCGGCAATACTCTATTAGCCAGTTTCGGATCTTAGTATATCACGCCCAAAACAGGCATATATGAATTACAATGGATCTACCGCTACGAAGTGGTCACCCGTCTTCCTATGATGTGAATATTGGTTTGCCATGAGAGTGCTAGATCTAATTGTTGACTTAAAGGATGCCTTCTGTGTGACACCAGCTACGGGGAAATACCGGAGTCGGCTGCAGCTGTGCTTAAATGCACACAATTTATGCCCCATCCGCGATCATACCTTGATCTCGACCATGTCGGAGCCACCCCGAAGTAGGTCCATTTGGAGGGTTTAGAACCCCACCCGTCAAGCGGAACCAAACGAGGCCCCATCCTTATCGTACAGATCAGCGTTGATAAGCGCGGGGTGACACATGATTGGCTATACTGCATGATTCATACCTCCATTCCGCTTATTGAATCTTCGTCTAGGGCAAGATATTCCCAGAGAATATACCGAGGCGCTAAGGAGTAACGCCACTTTGTGGTCCATGTTCCCCTAGTGAGCCAGAAACCTGGGCATGCAATCTTTGCACTGGCGGTTTCAGTGTTAGATCGCCTATCGTTCCTCTGAAGCATGGCGCTAATTTGGAGAATTACGTATGATTAACTCCGACGGGAATTTCCAAGGAGCAGTGGGCCTGGCTCGGCAGAGTACCCTCCGAGATTTGACCTCTCTGGTTGATCTCGCTAGTATCTTTGGTCGGAACGCTTGAGTCAGCATTACCAATATGGAGATTGGTAAAAAAAAGAGTAACTGGTATACGTCGAGCTCGCCATGTCTGTCAGGTCACACCCAGTGCCGTGGTGCCTTGCCGACCTTTGCTAGTCCTGTTGCAGCTAGACTTGGCATATCTCCTAAACTAATTCTTCTTGCTCCTGTAGTATGCCATATGTCGGGATGTAGACCCCCGATCCTCCGGCGGTTAACCCCATACCCCAGAGTGTGTGACTATGGGTGATATAGCCCTGGAGCCTTTATACCATAGCAGGCAAGTTTGCTTGTGAACACTGGCTAAATGCCGGTGATTGCGTTACAGCCCCCGGAACGGCAAATCTGTGATCATCTATTAGCCGGTACTGGACTTAATGGACGTAAGCTACTTTTGAGGCACAGGTTAGCGAATGATGTTAGTATCCGCGCTTATCGTCTGTTGATGTACCCACCTTTCCACTATCACTTGCCACTGCCTCATATAAAACACATGCCATCATTCTTTCTAGAATAGTCGCGATTATTTCTGGTAATTTCATCGTCTTCTTTCCACGAACAGGATTTTTGAACGACCAGGCTTTTTACAACGAAATTATCATCATGAACTCGACACCACAGGAGGCGAACAAGGCCGTCAGGCTGACATCTCGCACGAAGGAACTTCTCGCCATCGATTCTAAGTATTCCGCAGGTGGCATCTTTCCTCTTCCTGTATTCATCCAGAGTGGCCGAGGATCTATTCTGAAGGTGAGTAACTGGCTGGAAGTATCAGACCTCAGAATCCAGTCAGCAGAATGCTAACCATATGGGTCGATGTAGGATGCCGATGGAAGAGAAATCATTGACTTTATTTGCATGCTCAGCGCGACAAACCTGGGCCAGTGTCATCCAAAGCTCGTGGAGGCAGTGACAGCTTCCATGAATACCAGTATGCTACTCTTTTCCTCGCTTGCTGAAATACACCTAAAAAAAATAGAATCGTCCAAATACTAATAGTACGATTTGTAGTAACATTGACCAACATTGCAACAAAGGTCGGCGGTTGGGCGGAGTTTACTAGGGACATGTGCGAACGATTCGGATACGATAAGATGGTAGGGATGGTATCTGGCACTGAGGGTGCTGATGCTGCTGTCAAGTTTGCGCGTAAATGGGGTATAAAGGTCAAGGGAATCAAGCCTACTGAGGTTCTGGTTCTCGGTGTCTCGGACAACTACCACGGTGTCGGCTCCGGGATCTGGCCCATTATGAATGATATGGGCCAGGCAGCAGGTAGATGCTTAATACGTCTTGCAGATGATGAGCTTGGCTAACACGCATTTCCAGACTACGGTGTAACCAATTCAAACCTCAGAAACACAAACCCTGAAACGGGGAAGTTGCTGCGCTATGGAATGCTTGCAGACTTTGAGGAAGTTATCGCTTCCACTCATCATCGTCTTGCAGCAGTGATGATGGAGTGCATCCACGGCAAAAAAGCGTAGGTTTCCCGGTCCTTTGGTACATTGCATTGTCAGTCGCTGTCAGGCTCATGATGCTGACTGTAACAGCGTGTTTGAAGAGGAACTGCAGTTCGCAATCGGCGTCCGCAAACTATGTAAAAAATACAACGTACTATTCATTGCGGACGAAGTCCGGCAGGGTTCTGGAAAGACAGGAAAGTTTCTCTGCTCGGATTGGATGGGCCCAGAGAACAAGCCTGACATGGTAGTGATGGGCAAGTCTATTACTGGTGGAGCCTACCCAGCTTCGTACGTCCTGGGCCCCAATGAGGTTATGAACCTCGTTGGGGGTTACGAGTCAGTGGCGACATTTGGTATGGCACCTGCAGCAATTGCTGCGACCCGGGCTGCCCTCAAGATCATTGATGAGGAAAAGCTGGTTGACAGAGCCCTTTGGATCGGTAACATCTGGAAGAAAGAGACGGCCGGCTGGAACTTCCCCTGGCTGGACTACGTCACCAACAGAGGTGCAGATATTGGTATCTACCTCAAGCGCTCAGACAATCCGCGGCTCACTACTCGACGATTAAGTATGCTGGCATTGCATAAAGGCATTCTCACTTACCCTGACGGGGACCGTGTCAGATTGGGTGTTGCGTTGAACATACCCGAGTCAGACTTACGCAAAGGTATTGCAATAATGGAGGAATCCCTGGCTCAACTGGATGACTACGAGATTATTGAGACCGGGCCACCTATGAAGGGAGTAGTTCCTGACATGTAGACAACACCAAGCGGGGCTGGGCGTGCCTAGTACTAGTTCTATTTCCTTTCACCAGTTCACTAGGGTCATTACGAGAAATTTATTTTCGCTTTAGTGTTCAATTTCTTCTGCTTATGGTAACCCGACTATTAATCGAATTTTATTGGATACAGAATCTACGGTGTCGGTTCTCCTCTTTTCGACATTGATCAGCAAACCATTATGAACTTATCAGTCGAATGCTTGCCTAAGCTTGCAAATGGGGCTGATCTCGATGTCAGGATTCCCTTCGTCATGGGTGACACGACATGGTAGTTTGCAGTGATAAGCAATGTAGCAAGGTCTGGAGTCCGAGGTTTAGTAATCCTGATAGCCTGGTTGCTTGCCTAACCCAACCCAACATTATACAACCCCCACAAAAGCAGCCTAGGTCCATTCTGGAGGGGTCCATCAGTTCAGAAGAGCATCAATTGCCGAGAGACCAGCCGAAAGGCATGTAACTGATTTGTAAGTCGCAAGTGTTGGTTTGCGTAGACCAAGAAAAAGCCCATATGTTATCTCTACGCTGTGGGTCGAGTAGTACGAATGATAAGCGCGGCCTGAGATGGAATTGGCTAACTCTAAGGGCTCGCCATCTGGGGTGAATATCCCGGGGGCTAGGGGCAAAATGAGGGGATCGCCCCATAAGCGTCTTGACATCGCCACAAGATGTCCCACTCAATTGCGTACTCGAGAGAGGGGTTCTAAGTGCTTTTTAGTGAGAGTTGACGCATTCATTTGCTTTACATCCCCCGGTATCTCACAGGCCATTTCATTCGGATCTTGCAACAGTTCAGCTTTATAGAGAAGATCATTTTCTTTTTTTTTCCCTCATTGTATCAACATGGAGTCTTACAGCACGCCGACTCGTGTCGAAGGCGCCCCCGCCTCCCTTGCACGGAAATTCTCTTTCGTGTTAGTTATGAAACCGCTCCGCGCTTCTATCATCAATGCTCATTATCCATACGATTGACACGCTCTAGATCACTGCTAGGTCTTGCCTTTGCTATACTTAATGTCAGTCTCTTCCAGACAAGATTTCCCTCGCTGACACATAAACACCTTTTCCCTAGTCATGGACAGCATTTACGTCGAGTCTCCCACTTAGTCTGACATCCGGGGGCCCATTAAGCATCATTTGGGGTAAAGGAAATGCAACTGCCTTGCTTTAAACTTAACTGACTATCAGGAACGAAAGGGCTTCTCGTTGCGTCTATCTGTACACTGTGCATCGCCTTTTCCCTGGCAGAATTTCTGTCAGCCTATCCGATGTATGGTTCATAACGAACGCGGTTGGGGCTAAGGGCATGGCAATATGCTAATAATCTTCCTGTTGTAGAGCAGCAGGGCAATACCACTGGGTGGCAGGTGCGGCGTATCCCCCTTTTTTGGTGCTACAATGACTTTCCTCACTTAGAAACTCAGCTGATGTGATTCTTGGTCTTCGACGTACAGTCGGTATGTGACTACTATTGACCTACTTTGCAACTTGGCATATTCATTAGGTCTAGTCTCATGGAAGAGGCACGTGTTATTTCTCTCCTGGTTAACGGCCTGGCTCAACGTGGCCGCCTGGGTACTGTCCATGAATTAAAGACTCACGGTGTGTGATGACTTGCTTATTCTTTTCGACACCAGGTATTTCTTACAGCGACTGCCTCGCTTTTCGGCGCCTCTTTGGTAATGAACATTGTGGCGCTCATGCACCCGGTATGCAGGCTCTTACCCCTCAGGCGGATCAACTCTCTAGATATCGAACACATACCAAGCTACTGAAGCGCTTCACTAATGTCATTTTCACAGGGGTTCGATCTTCAGAGGTGGCAGTTGTTTTGTGTCTATTGTGGCTTCATTACTGTTGCTTTCTTGGTCAATGCTTTCTGGAATTCTTTTCTGGCACTCCTAAACAAAGTCGCACGTGAGTACTCGAAGACCCGTTTACATTATCAAATGGTGTCTTTCAGTTATGCTAATCAGCCAAGTTTTATGGTCTATTTGTGGCTTCGTCGTGATATCAATCGTGACAATATCGTGTTCTTCACCTAATTACACCTCGCCGAGGTGAGCATTCTGGCAAATGAATATTCTTCGTCTCGGGTACCTAACACAAAGCAAGCTTTGTCTTTACCGATTTTATCAACGAGACTGGATGTACGCATTGCAGCCCTACTTGTTGAGTTACATCAGACACTTTAGCATTTGTGGCGGAACTGACATTGAGCGACTGGTGCTTAGGGAACGATGGTATTGCTTGGCTTCTGGGTGTATGCACCATTTCTGGAGAGTATCCGTAGGTATAAAGTGAAGCTGATGACAACCGATAGCTTTTGCAGGGAAGCCTCTGCTTGACAGGAATTGTAAGTGCTTCCATCATCTCTTCCTTTTCGTATCACTGCCCTAACAAGATCAAGGATGCCGTCGCCCATATGATTGAAGGTGGCTATTTGTCCTTGGCTTTCCCTATATACTGTTTCACTTACAGAGTGCTTACACAGAAATCCCCGACCCATCAATTCAAGGTCCTCGGGTGATGGTTGCATGCGTAGCGGTTGGTAGCTTCACCAGCTTCGTGCTCATAATCATCCTTCTTTTCGTTGCACAGGATATCAATACCGTCATCAGCTCCGCTTACGGGCCACTACTTCAACTACTTCTCGATGCGACGCATAGTAAAGCAGGGGCGATTTGCCTATTGGTGTACGATGTCTTTTTTTTTTCCATTCTTGGTCGTATTTCATGGTGAACTCATGAAACAATTGCTTCAGATTTCCGATCGGGTGTCTCATACTCGGGGTTTGCGCCATTATGACCACTTCCAGCCGGATGGTCTATGCTCTGGGAAGGTAAGTGGTTTTCCTTCCTCTCTTTCCCACCTTTTCTTGCTTTGTCCGACGTGACTAACAGTGAAAGTCATATATAGAGATAACGGCCTGCCTTTTTCTCCTAGATGGACTAAGATTCACCGAAATCTAGGTGTACCATTCAATGCCCTCTGCCTTTGTTGGACACTGGCCGTATGCTGTGGTTGCATCTACCTAGGATCGACGACGTGAGTGAACCACACTGTGTTTACTTTCCAAATCCCCTGGCCCCGCCACTGTTTCGCAGGTATGGTTTCCCAATTAATCGCTTCTCTCCTTAGTGCATTTAACGCCCTGAGCTCCGCCACAGTAATCTGTTTCGATTTATCTTACCTCTTACCCATATTTATACATTGCCTACGCGGACGAAACCAGCTTCCCGACAGAGCATTTTCCCTATCTCCTGCTCTGGGTTGGACTGTAAACATTGTACGAAACACCCTTTATTCGTCTACTTTGTGCTTCCAAATCGCTCTGTGAAGAGCCATCTGACGTTTGAGGTTTTCCTGGCCAGGTTGCAATTGTTTATATCACTTTTACCACAGTCCTCTTTATCCTGCCGCCTAACTTGCCAGTCACTGGTGAGAATATGAGTAGGTTTTTCTTTTTCTTTTTCTTTTTTTCTTCCCTATATTTCTCGGGTAAGAATGCGTGCTGAAGTCATATTTAGATTATGCTGTGGCTGTTGTCGGTGCGCTCGTCGTGATGTCCACCGTCTTTTGGTTCGCCGGAGGGGGTAATAATTTTGACTGCACTATGGCGGGCACGCACCACGATGATAACGTTCCTGTTGAGGTCGTAGCTTCGTCCTTCGACCCGGGGAAGTAATTGAAAAAAGCCGGTGGAACTATTATGCTACTTTAGGTTTCACGACTTCATCCACGGAAATTTGAGTCTGAAATAAGTCGCGGTTTTTGGCCAAATGCGTGTCGTGGTTTCGATTGGTCCCGCAACACCTGCGAGCTATTTAGATGCCAGGCGAGTTATTGTGAATACTCACTCTTACAGTATTTTTAACAAAATGAACTCTCCCGTCTATATCGACCAAAGCTTTCTACAAGTTTACGCAACACGCACAAGAAGCGCAAACGTTAATTCATTTGGAATAATGGAGACCTCGCAGAGACATAAAATGTCGATTGCTGAGCCCCCCGTGAGAGTTGAATGAAGACCATAGCCACCAATTTCCTTTACTCTTTCTTCGCTCTCTCTCTTAATATAACCAAAGCACCACAACTAGGTAAACATGATGCGAAAGCCCTGTATTTCCATAGCAGTTGTTAAACAGCGCGGGCCAGAGTCTAAGAGATGCTGGCTTTTCCATACCAGCTCCAACAGGGCAATAGTCTGGTACATGTTCCCTAGGTTGTACTTCTTCACCATGCGGAATAGATAGGTCCGAACGAATGCCCGATCTTCTGGTTCCTCTGCGTATGCGCCTAAGACGGCCAGCGGCCAACAGAGGACTGTTGTGTGGTTCGACTCTGGCGGGATAGCCCGAAGTAGTTGCATGAAATTGAGAATCAGTTGGCGTCTATAGGAGACAGAGCCCTCAGCAGTGCCTCGCTCATTGAGAGGGGACATATCTAAGAGTGAAAGAAGAGCCAGCTGATAAATCAACCCACATCGGTATCCGTCGCCATCATTTTGGATTTCCGGTGTCCAAGATTGAATGACTGAATGGGCACGCAACCTTGACAGACACATATGCATCGGCAATCCCCCCACGCCTGCGTGGATGAGATTATCATGAATCGCGATGGATATCTCATATACCTGTGGAATCCACTGATAAAGCGTGAATGCGTTCCCGCACAGCATTCCAACCAATGGCGTTTGATTGCGCATCAGGATGCGCGAACAGAGCTGCACATCCGCTTCTGATCTGAGCATAGTTTCACTATGATCTTTGGGTGAAGTACAGCTTGGCAGAAGAGCAACAATGTACAAATAAAATTCAGCAGCGAAGGAGAATAGAGGCGTATTCGAGCAATGAGCTTCGGCGGCACTGAAAAGGTCTTGAGCAGCACGAAGGTGGAGGAAGGCATGTTCGTGTGTGTCAGCATTGGTGGTCTCTATAGCACACAATATGAGACATGTAATCATAAGAAAAACTGCCAGATCATTCTGACCCTGGGAGTAAATGACCAGGCTATGCTTTAGACTCCGTAATACCTGAGCATATTGCTCCCAGACTGCATGTGCAAAATGTCCCCGTCGGTTATTTTGAAGATAGATTACGCCACTGAAGGCGAGCAGCGCATGAAGGATCATGTCCGACTGCATGGCCACCGGAATCAATACGTGCAAGAATGGATTCGAGGGCTCGTCGCGGATGCATACGACCTGCGCCGCCTTGTGCAAGAAGAATGTGTAGAGAAAGGCAGCTTGACTGCGACTTAGTTGCGGGTGAGATTGCCTTAATTCCTGGAACATTGGGCTATGTCGCGACCGGGGCAAGGAGCGTAGCAGGAGCTCGGTATTGGGTGGCGATGGCGAATCGGGCCTAGATCGGAATGCAGAGAGGGCCTGCGTAGAACTGCTCTTGCGGCGTCTCTGTCTAGGAAGGATAGTATTAGCCGACGATAGCTTAGCCGTCTGGCGTGACATTTCTCCCCAGGCGCAGATCAGAACATTGCGCATGCAAGCCGCACATGAAGGCTTCTGCTCATCACATTTTTTCCGGCGTATTTTACAAGTGATACAACCGTTGCTCCGCGGCATGGCTGCTGGTAGGGCAATCAAAGGTGGAAGAAGTTGTGCGCATGTGTCTAGGTATTGGCGAAGAAGAGTTCTGAGGCCAGATTGAAGGTGTCTGATAAGATCAAACCAGAATCATGAAGCAAGAATACGGTGATTAAGAGTGGGGACGCCATAACTCTACTTATCGGGGATGAGTGGTTTAGGTAGCGGGGAGTCACATGAGAGGATCGGACCAGCAGCCAATGAAGAGCTCACCCGCGCTTATCGATAAGCGAGATTTATTTCCCCGCCCGGGGAATCTTATCATTGCCTTGACGGGTCTGGTAGTAATGAAAGGGGGCTTTGATTGACCCCATTAGCCTAAAAGTCAAACTAGAATAGTACAATATTTAAAGGTATACAATTCGCAAGTACCTTGATCACCAGTGCAGAGTTATTCAGTAGCTGTTTGTCCTCAACATCATCAAAATGTCTCTTATTCCTACAACCCTATACTACGCTGCCGCGGTCATCAATGCCATCTCTATTCCAGGCCATATCAGCTTTGGGATCAATGAAGTTGACCCGGCCATTGCTAAGATCCCCGAAGATAGAAAGCATGCCCTCGGGAAGGCAACTGCAACTACTGCCTGGGATATGGTGAATGCCCTGTTGGCTGCCTCTGGTGAGCTTTAGTTCCTCTTCTTCTCCTAGTGTTCCTGTTGTGGTATGATCTTGTGAGTAACTCTGTCGCATTAACACACAATCTAGTATTGCTCAATATCAAGTGGTCAAAATACGGTGTGCGGACTTGGGAGGAGAAAATAATCATTGGCACTTCTGTGGTAGCTGGAACATTGACCGGATGGAGATACTTCAAAGTGCGCTCTTATGGTGGATTGGGTTGTCTGTGGGCTGCCCCTTGGTTTACCTTGGGCGCCATGATCTCTCAACAACTTGGAAGCCTCTAGATATCCAGTATCGCAGGGACTTACGACATTGTTTTCCCAGCAGGTGTTTGTGGGAGAATTGCTACGGCAATAGATCGAGGATCGGAATGTTTCAGTTACCTAGTGTTGTTAGGAAAGCCGCACTCGGTTTGTTTGTTTTCTTCAATTTGTATGAAGAGGTGCCGAAGCCAGACTCATCACCTCCAATTTCTCATGGGCCAATTCGGCAACTCTGTATTGCGGATAAGATGGCGCCCCAATGACAAATCTACGGACAGACTCCCTGTTTACTTAGCGAGATTAGCCAACAAAATTATTTCATCTCCGCGGCACAATTCCTTCCAGAACAGTGGGAGATAGAAATTTGCCTCTCACCCGCCCTATCCTTCATGGACCTTCTTGCGTCTCAATTAGTGTAGGGAAAAGGGAACAAGTCAACGGCAAGTAAATCCAAAATGTGATTCAAGATTCCATCGTTAAAATGTTCGGTGCTCTATCTGAGTTTAGCTCTTCTCGATGCACATCACCACCCATCCACATAGCAACCTGATATCACCAGCTGTCTCTGCCGATTCTCATTGCAATTTTGTACTCCCAATCGAGAAAGTCCGCCCAAGTGACCATCATCACTGGTAGATTATTAGCACTTAAATCTTCGTGGGTGAATCTCAGACTCGGTAAGGGTATTATTGTAATAACTGCCACGCGGTAGTGAGGGCCTCGTTGTACTCACGAACAAATCTGAAACCGTGCGAAGGGACTGGAGAAATTATGTTGGTAGAGTAATTTGTGGCCTTTGAAAGCGTTCATGGTATTGTCAGGGACGCGCGAGCTGTGCTAGGCCGTCCCAGCTGGTGGGTAGATAATATCCTGACTTGGTGGCTCCCACTCGCGCATAGTGTGGGCGCAAGTCTTCATTTCTTCGAGCCACGGACCCTCGCCAGCAACCTCCAAGAGTTCATCGGAGTTCATCAACATGAACCCCGGCAGTCTCGTTATGAGTATTGAGACTTCTCGGTTTAAGTTAGGAGTAACGTGCTCTCGGCAGTTGACGACTCTTGGGACTGGAATACCAGCTGCTCGAGCCATTTGCATTACAATAACTTCCTCCACGCTCGTGCGATTGGTCCATTCTAGAACGAGTCCAAACTGCAGCTGGATGATGTGCGGGTCAAAATATGTCCTGAAAACGTAGAAGTAGCATCGTGAGAAGTGGTAGAGGAAACCATGTGCTTTACCCCAAAGCCATCTGCTATTGGCGCCTGGTACGGCGGACACTGGGGTTACTCTTTGGTTTGTAGTAACAGTGTGTACTGGCCTGGTATAATCAGGAGTCATGATTGGGGGCAATAGGGAAAGCCACATTTAGAACAAAGCCCTCCAGAAGATGAAGAAGCAAGCGTTTCTCGGGCGCTGAACGGAGTAAACAAGGACATGCCGGACAATTGACCTTGCCGTTCCGATATGGCTCTGCATGTGCTTTTCTTTAGGGATTATATCTTTAGCTAGGCGAGGGTCTAGAAATGCAGACATTATGGTGAAACAGAGGGATATCGATTCGTCAATGATGGTTAATGTGAGTGGCAGGTATGAACTGCACTCTCGACCCGTAAAACTGAGCTATTCTCCAGCATGAGGTATACGGCGTACTACTAGGCATACATGACAAGGACAAACTCATTAGCCATTTCCAAGACCGCGGTCAGAAGATGAATCATAGACCTCGACCATGGCCTCTAATTTATCCCGAACATGACAACACTGCGAAATCCCTGAATAGATAATGCAATGTCGTCCTATCATCCTTGTCTCAATTCGGTCTAACTGATTACCTCATTTTTATCCTATTCTACACCATCACCGTAGAGTATTCTAGCACCTTCAGGATAGCTACCTAAGGGCACTGATTTCAGACTTGTGATATCCACAACATACGGCTTGTCCATGATCTCGTTCGTAGCTGTCATAGCTGCATGCCTTACAGATAGTTTATCGCATATCACCCAGCCTTCATCATTCGGCGCCCCGTATGGACCCCGATGACGCAGTGCTCGGTGCAACTGTGAAAGACCCCGTAGCCAGCAATTGATCTGGTAATATCCATTCCGCCGAGAGTATCTTGGGCGCCATGGGCTAGATCGGCAGGTGAAATTCCAACCGTGACTGTACATTAAACTTAGTTCTTCACCTTGCGCCAAACTAAGCTAAGATCATCCGTAGAATAATTGAGTTTTGTTTGATCCTTTGCCAGTACTCGTCAAACACACGTGGAAATTCTGGAGGCGATTACCAACGCATATCAACGCCAACTGTTTCACAAAGATCTCCTGTAACACTGCCTGATGCATTAGCTCCATTACTCAAATGGATCGATCTTGTCATATGGAATCTTACATCGGGATATAATGTTATTGGTGCGTTATGGCAGGTGACAATGCATAGCCGAAGTCTGTACGACCACGGGTAGTCGTTCGAGGATTCGATACACCTATCATTACCTGGACGTGAAACATAACGTATGCTTGCAGGGGTGAATGTAGGCCATGGTGTAGATTTCCATTGTGTTACACATCCCCAGCGCTCTGGGAAAATATGAATCTGCTTATTTCTCGGACACCTCGTGAATATACAATACGATTATTAGCAACATCAGTACGGCTCACTTGAATCAACCGTTAACGCCAAGAACGCAACTCGGATAGAAAGTCCATTCTCTCGTGTCCGTATGCGCTTGCGAGGAAGGTTTGAAGTAGGAGGCCTGATTTAGACTCGCCAAGTGTAGAATCATACTTTCACTTGAAGATCACACGAGGTATCATGGGATACATCAACTACCCTATTGTCATGGATTGGCTTCACCTCCTTGTTCAATCGTAGGCAACATGTGAAACGTTAGATTTTGATTAATTAGCAACATTGATTCGTGGGGCATTGATTCAGGATCACGAACTCGAAATCCAGCACCGCTCCATCCACACAGATGCTCATCTCGTAATGAGAGTGGCCGTGCCAAGTACTAGACATAGATACCTTGATCTGCCGTGATCAAACATCGGCGAAACCTACAGGATGAGCGAGTAGAGCATCGTCAGAGTCGACATGGCTGGTATAAGAAGGGTGGCTCTCCACGGATTCAATCAAGCTAATGCAACATCCATCAGACCCCCTAAAACACTCTTCAAAAAAAGATAATCTTTGTCCTCATCATGCATCTTATTCCTGTTGCTATCGCCACCCTTCTGACAACTGCCAGCGCTATCAGAATTATCAAGCCCGCTGCCGGTGACACTGTTCACTGCAACCAGCCATGGCAAGTTTGCTGGACCGCGGTCGAGTAAGTATCGCCAAGGACTCAGAATTCTGAAAAATGGCCCTAGCTAATTTAGCCACATTTTCCAGCACTGATCCGCCACAGTTCTGCCTCTACCTCACCAACTTCAGGGAGTTCCCTCCCCAGATCGTCGATCTCCTCAGCCGGACGCCCATCACAACTGATGGTGGCGGCTGTGTGACGATACCTCCGCCAAGTTGCCCATCCCCCCTTCGAACAACGTATGTGGTAGACTCTAATAGAGTACTTTTCGTGGGGTGCGTGTCCAATATTTGCTGACATGGAGGTTGCGTTCTCTAGTCCTTATCGCGTCCGGGCTGCTTCCTGTTCAGATCCCAATACTATCTACGCGGAGTCTGGGGACTTTACTCTCCTCCCTTAACTTCCTGCCTCTACAAAGAGACATGTACATGGAGTGGAATTGTAACACGTCAGGTCGTACTTTGATTAACAAGCAGGCTGGTAGGAGGCAAGCTAATAAAGTAGTCTGTTCTGTTTGAGTGCAAGCTTAGTATGCCGCAGGCATGGAGCGAGTCGCAACATCGCTAATCCTAACTGGCTTCAACAGTCAGTTCTTTCATTCGTTTGGGAATTTCACTCTTGTTAGGTTGTATTTGTTCGAATTTGAATTAGTTGCCTGCTTTTCCACAGCCTTTTTCTTCTAAGAGGAAGGACACACAAGGGATCTTACAACTCAGTGGAATGCACAGGATCAGCCGCGAGTCGCTTTAGTAGTTCCAGGTTCTATAATGGTGACATTATTCCAGTAGTTTTGTGACTAGCTTTGATGTGGCAAGATTGAAAGCCTGGATCAGTACTTGATAATCAACTCAGCAGGTATCTCAAATTTAAAGCTGCTGCTATCAACGCAACAAGTATAGACGTAATAGGCAATTTGGGTTATCTGTATACGGAGTCTGCTTGATACCCAAGCAAAGAACCCGTAACCGAGTAAACTCTCTGATAGCGTTACTTTCAGTTATAGGATCAAGTAAGCTACTAATGATATGACTGTACATCTTCACGTGATATATGATCACTAGGGCAACAGACAGTTCGTGCTTGCGGAACGCTTCTTCCTTCCCAGTAGTCAGATGCATAGAGGGAGCTGCGGAACCAAAATTCGGCATCCATCATACCAACTGACCATGAAGTGTCATGCCCAAATACTTGGGCGCTCTATTCTTTCCTCAACACCTATTAGCCAACCATGTTTCTCTCCACCAAGTTTCAGGTCGCCCCGCTGTTCCCAGAAGACCCACTCAGGCTTATTTGCACGGCTTAACTCCACAAAGCTTCAGGCTCGCGTAGAGTACAATTGGATCAAGGGGGTGGAAACACTTGAAGAATATCAGCCTGGAGGTTACCACCCGGTTATGATTGGTGACATGCTTCATAACCGATACCGCATCGTGGATAAACTAGGTCATGGTGGTTACTCTACCGTCTGGCTCGCTCGAGATACTGCCCTCAAGCGATACGTCGCGCTGAAAGTCAACACAGCGGATGCACATCCACGTGAAGCAATGGTCCTTAGGGCACTGTCTAAGCCATCCTCATCACCTCCAGCCCACGGACGCAGCCTGATACCGGTAGTATTCGACGAATTCGAAATACAAGGCCCTAATGGAACTCATGCATGCTATACTACAGCTCCCGCACAATGCAATCTTAGGGAGATCTCATTCAGCCGTCTTTTCCCCCTTGACGTGGCTCGAGCGCTGTGCTATGGACTTACACAGGCTGTTGCTTACACGCATTCGCACGAATATGTACACGGAGGTTTGTCAAGAAGGCCCTCTCGCGACGTGGACCCTTTAGCTAATATCGAACCTACCGAATCAAGATATTCACCTGAACAACATCATGATCAAGCTTCCATCTAACTTTGACAATCTTTCAATCAAAGAATTGTACCAGAAATATGGAGAGCCCGAGACTGTTCCCATCACGCGCTGCGATGGAAAGCCCCTTACACCTAATATCCACACTCAAACGGTGATACCTCTATTCCTAGGAAAATATGCTGAAACGATGACGCTAGCCGACGTACGTCCACTTCTAAGCGACTTTGGAGAGGCCTTTGCCCCGACCTCAGAAGTCCGACTTGGGCAAGACTGCCACACGCCCCCGGCTTTCCGAGCCCCAGAAGCCAGATTCGAGCCGCAAAAACCGCTCACATATTCTTCGGACATATGGAGCCTAGCTACAGCGATATGGGAGATTATGGGAATGAAAGCTATCTTCAGTATTGAGATAGTTCCTGACGATGAAATCGTGGCACAAAATATCGATGTACTGGGACCACTGCCAAGAGAGTGGTGGCTGTGTTGGGAGGGGAGAAGCAAGTTTTTTACGGAGGATGGGCATCCAACAGACGCATATCTGGAGAATAAATGGCCTCCCCTCGAAGAGTCGTTCGACGTAGACATACAGAAGTGGAGGAGAAAGTGGAGGGGTGTGGTCGAAGAGGATGAGAGAGCCGCCTTTTTGGATCTGATCCGCAGGATGTTGCTGTTCCGACCGGAAGCGCGACCGACAGCGGAAAATGTGCTCCAGTCGGAGTGGATGGTCAAGTGGGCTTTGCCGGATTATGAGCGAAGCTCAAATATATCTGGTTGATGTGATGAGTATGCAAGGAGGTAAATATAGGTGCTAGTAGCGAGACTCAGCCAGAAAATCCAGCCAGTTAATCCCGACCTAAATCAGATTTGCGTCTTTTGGTCCATCAAATCAACCAATACCGAGGATATTTTTTTCTCTCCTTTCATTGACAAAATTATTACAGGGCAAGCCTAAACACATTGGAGCATGACAACAAAATTCACTTTTCCAGAAGCCATGTAACAGACCATATCCGGACATTAGAGATCACCTTGAAGATGGACGCCTCTGAATTCATCGGCCGCTGCCCTATCTGCGAGGGCATTGATCCAACCGGCAAGACGTATAGCCGCCTTGAATATCTGTTCATCAACAATAGGCGCAGCTACCTCGTAATACTCACCACCCAGGTCGTTCTCCTCAAGCCACTCAAGCCCCCTTTCCATCACGAAATCACAATTTAGCTGATTTGATTCCGTCGCCCACTTCTTGATGCATTTCAAGGGTTGTCGAGTATTTGCACACTCGGTATCAACTGGTCGCGGCCTGTTTTCCCGGTGGAGTCTATCGGCCCACTTCGCTGACGCTAGCCTTTCGGGATTGTGTTTGAGACTGTGCTTTATGCCATTGATTTTGTGTGGAATGGCAGTATCCCAGACTGCGTGTAGGTTCCATTTCTTGTTGTCATCGTCGCACGGAGCCTTGGCATCGAAGCAGACACGAATATCATTTCCACCTCTTGCCACTCCCGTGGTGTGCAGGGGTTGGTGTAGGTCCCCGAAAAGGTGAATCAAAAACATCAAGGCCTCCTTTTTCTGGGTCATATTGGCTTTTTTGTCATTGATTTGATGAGTCTATAGTCCGAGAGTGTTAGAGACCGAGGACGCAGAAGGACAAAAGTAAGAAATATTTCGTGTCAACGATATTGTGGATACAGGCAACTTACCATATTTGCCATCAGTGAAATGATACAGCCTTCGGCAGGGCAATCATCCGGATATGAGACGGAACATGAATTTGGAGGTTCGTCATTTGGGTCTGAAGCCAAATTAGATGGTGAGTGATCCATATACTATTCGTATAACATACTGATATAATGCAAGGGTCTAGTGAGCGGTCGTTTCCACTTGATGGTGTCCGCCCACGTTGCGGCGTCAGAGATATCAAAGCCTTTATCGTTGGCGAGAAGCTCATTTACGAGATTAGAGCCGGTAGTAGTAAGGTGTTTCTCAGCCAAGTAGGCGATAGCTCGGTGCCCAACATCTCCCCAACCGATCGCTGGTTGCACTGACAGCGTACAGATTGTGAAAAGAAGGAAAGCCCGCATTGTAATGGTACGTGTCGTAAGTCTGGTCCCTAAACAAATGAACAGTGGGTTTTGAGGTACAAGCACTAAGATGCCAAGGGCATCGTCTTCTTATAACATCGCTCCGGCTAATTGCCCAGTTTTGTAGGAGCACAGCAAGCGGGTGCCTACTAACTACATACCAATGACCATCCAAGAGCTGTCACAATGACATTATTGGTTCTTGTAATACAACTCCACCGTAGATACTGTGTCAAGTGCGGAGAAATATGTACTGAGATTTCATCATTGGAAGGAGATGAACAAAGAAAAACTAGCTATACGAAATCTACTCCCGCGCACAGCCAAACTACAGGGACCCACGGTTTAATATGGCTCAATCGTGCTTAGATTTCTATGCTTATCCGAAGCAAGAAACCATGGTGTGGTTTGATCTTGAATTCTAGCCGTGGCCTATTTCTTTAAACTTTATCTCCCCAGTGGATAAGGCTGCCGAACACACCATGTATCGTAATGATTATCACACTGCCAATTATTGAAATCTAACCTTGCCCACATAAACCATGGATCATTGACAGTTTGGATATTTCACTCTTTTTTGCGAAGAATCCTTTCTATTACTAAGTCTTTTGTTAAACGATCCAAGCGCTATACCACGGAGGGCGCACTGTGACTGCTGAATGGCATCTGCCATGCCTCGCTACAAACATCTAGTAACCGAGTCTACAAATGTTTGACCTTCCGCCAAGTTTACTACTCAACCCATGTCCTTGAATGTACTTCCACGATTATCATTGCTAGCTTAGTAAGTAATACACACAGATTAGCCATTTCTGACAGTCTGGATCAGCACTTTGTAAAACAAAAACGAGACGGAAGAGTAATTGTGCGTCACAAATATTTTCCATCGCTCTCCAAATCAACATTTTTCGACATTGTCATCATTATCAAGAGAAAAGTACCGAACTTGGCTGAAGAACGCCTCAAACTCAATGGGCAAAAACAATCGGACGGCCTTCTGTCGCTCCCTGCCGAGCCCCATAGCTTACCCCATCGACCCTCAATCCCTCCTCATTGAGTAGGGTGATAGTATCACCATTGTTGGAAAGAGGGCAGTTTGACATCTCAAACCTCTTCATAGCTCGAGGGTCCAAAGCTGCATTATGAGGGAGCGCTTGAACTTGACCAGCAGCATTATGAAACCTCCATGATTCCAGGGCTACTCTGTGATTTGTAAGGTTCTCAAGCGTAACGAACTCTTTTTCTTTGGCAGACCGGTCATCTCTGCCTCGTGGATTGATGAGGGCTTCCTTGATATTTACCGAGTGTTCAATGATCTCCTGGGGTAGAACGTCCGCCCAGGTAACTACGTGTTTTGCGAAAGCATGTCCATTGCGGTCATCGGTGTGAGCGGCTTGTGATGCGAATGCAAGGAATACGCCAGTCCAATGATCGTCGTACTCAATGAGAAGGCCGCCATCCTGAAATACGCCATCATCCTTGACAAAGTGCGGAATATTGCCCTGGTTCATGTGAACATTGTGGATTCCATTTCTGGTGTTGAACATAGAGCCAAATAGATAGATGGTAGCTTTGTGGTGAATTGCCTTTTTTACCTCCGGCTCCAGAACGTCGATTATATCGTTATTTGTGCCGGGGATGTCATGGGGAAGAACACGGCCGCTCTGTGTAGTGAAGAGGTTCCCTCGAATGAAGTCTAGACCTTTACCATCAAAATCGGTGAGGTCCTCAATTGGGTGGAAGCCGAAGTCCAAATTAGATAGCTTCTCGGCTATGGGATGCTCGACAATGTTATGGTTCACCCAATAGGCAAGCCGGGACTCCTTGCCTGTGGACTTGATGTTGATTGCGGCGCGGAATAATCCAGGTATCTCCCTTGGTTTCTGCTTGTTTGGTGGATTGCCCTTGTGTTTGTGTCGGTAGTCACGGTCGAATTGTGGCATTTTTGCATTGTTGTCATGGTAGTACAGCGAGAGATGGGGGGATTTTGGGTCCTCGAAACGATCTTCCAGCTCGTAGTGAGCTGGAAATCCCTTCCAGATTCCGTAGTCTCTGACGGGCATGGTGTTTATGAGTTATGTAGCAGCGTTAGAATATATATTGAGCTAGTATCGTTAGGAAGCTAAAACGAGGTAAAGCTTAGTCCAAGTGCAATGGATCTAATATATCTCTGGGGAATTTAGAGGAGGGGAATGTGGAACAAACCACGCTTTTGCCCTCATCGCCGCTACGATTCGATCTCTTCTAGTCTGGAACGGTCTACCGTGTTGCATCTTTGGTGTTCGGTCGGCCTCCAGCCCGTTCCATGGTTTCTGTGAGCCAATATAAGCTTATGTTGTAGTGTATTATCACGCCAACGCATTTCACGTGGACACTTGTACCGTATCAGACCACTTCTACCATCTTAGAGGTATATGCATTTCAATTAATCGGTTTCTTAGAGAGCATCCGTGTTTTGACCTAAATGGAAGTACGAGTAGGAGATACCCAAGGGGGTAATAGCTTTTGGATTAAGAATATATTCCGCACATCAGCAGCCTCATGGCTGTGCATGCAGGGATCCGTCCACCTCAATGCGCTCTCAGAGGCCTCGTTGTAGCACCACCAAAATGATCTATATATATAACCTGACGCTTCATGTCGTTTCTGTTTCATTTGAGAAGCAGCGTCCCGAGAAGGGCTGTCAACCTCGTATTCGTCGATCCGCTAACTCTACTATTTAAAGTTATCCGTATTTCAACGCCACCCCCTCCTTGTGGGAATGACTTCCGCGAACCAACCTTTCAGTTTCTATTCATGTTTGTGCAGACACCCACCTATAATTTTTATGAGCCCAATACCTTGTTCTTCATTTGACTTTCCTCGTGATGAGGGATGGAGTTCACTCCGCACCAGGTGTAGCCAAGGAACGCCGCGTCGGAACACCAGCATCTGCTGGATACGAACGAATCTTGGCTTCGTCCAAACTTGCCCAGTCTGCGGAAGACCTCGTGTTCGAGGGCAGATGATGTGAGGCTGACTGCCCCAACGGTGGCTGGGGCTCAGCTGAGGTCTAGTCAATTCCAAATAAATGGAATAGGGGTTCTACGAGGGACTTCATGATGGGCGTATGAAATAGCATGTGAAACGTGCACTCGAACCACAGAATCCCAAATATCCACATGCAAAATGTCACCTAAACGTCTCATTGTCTGCTGCGATGGTATGTTCGATTGAACTACTGGAGGAAGCTAAATCCGTGCTAATCGTGGTCGGTTCTTCCAGGAACCTGGAAAGACTCGACAGCGGATTCTCAGGAACCTCCGTCCAATGTTACGCGGTTGACGCGCACTTTAAGCCGCGTGGCAGTCGTCGAAGAGAATGAAGTGAACAAAGAAATTCCTCAAATCGTCTACTACCAGAAAGGCGTTGGGACCGGTCTAGCCGACAAGTATTTCGGAGGTACGGTGTCTAGGCGTTGAATCCGACCGTGTTCCATGGATATTCCTGACTGATATACTAGGTGTCGCCGGGATCGGGATCAGTGCGAACGTTCGTGCCGCCTACGGCTTCCTCGTGGATAACTATGAGGAGGGCGATAAGATCTACTTTTTTGGATTCTCACGTGGTGCCTATACCGCCAGAGCGATCGCGGGTATAGTCTGCGAACTAGGGCTGTTGACTCCCCGAGGCATGGACAATTTTGCCACGGTATACGATGACTTCTACGACCGAAAATTACCAGCGTACGATGAGGGAAAACGCCGACAGCTGGGTTTCCGCGACCCCCTCCCACGGTTCACAGTAGAGATTGTCGGGGTCTGGGATACGGTCGCGTTCCATAAGCCCTGGTTGTTCGGAAACTGGTTAGGGGAGAAACTCGAGTTTCGTAATACGCTGCTCTCTAGAGAGGTCAAGTATGCGTTTCATGCACTTGCGTTGGACGAGGAGAGAAGCGCCTATCAGCCCACACTGTGGCATCAGCCAGAGAATGCCGACGGACAAGAGCTGCTGCAGGTGTGGTTCTCTGGTGTACATACAGATGTGGGCGGAGGAGGGCAGGACCCTCGACTGGCGAATATCACACTGGCCTGGATGATCGCGCAATGCACCAAGCATAATCAGTTGAGCTTCGATATTGAGGAGTACCTCTTCGACCGTCCTCCACGACCGTTAGAGGCAGACACAGCCCCATGGGCGACGGCATTCGGCAAAACAAACACGGGAAGCTTGGCTCGGACGGTGGAGACCATTCTGGGCGGGAAGTCAAAGAGGACTCCTCTCCAGTATAAGCAGACTGGCGATGGAAATCCACGGCCTACCAATGAGGTGATTCATGCTTCTATCGAGGACCGTGTATTGAGTGGGAAGGGAACCATAGCTGGAGCTGTATCTTGGCCCTCGCTAGTAATTGAACGCCTAACTCCTGATCAAGAATGGGTACTGGACAGTGGAGACAAACTTGTGCAAGCGCCAGTGCTGAAACAGGAACTGTTCATGAAGGGTAGGATTCGGACAGTTCATGTGGATGAGGTAGACTGATGTACTAAGTCTAGGCATTTCGTGTAGCAATAGGGTGTGTTATTTAGCCTGATTCACTTGTGGCAATTGCTAAACCCAGGCGGATAACTTTGGTAGTAATCCTGATGTTAACATGACTAGAAAAGCATATCAAGAACGTCGACGCTTTACTGTATCACAAATGACAGTTAATACTTCTCTTGACTACACTTTTCCTGCCTTCTTCAGTTGATTCCATGGTGTCGAATCTAAGCCTTGCCGAGATCAGCCAACAGAAAGCACCATTTTGACCCACCTACACGGCGATGGGTCTAGTAATGAAATCCGATAGGGCAGTTCGTTAACTATGAAATTAAAGATTCAGAATTAGCGGTAGTGCTTATCGAACAATAAGGCGATCTCTAACACGCACCAATTACTGTCCAAGGCACTGCCTGCCTATTCAGTCCGCTCATATCAGAGCCAATAAAACTGCCGCTCTAGGGTCATCTTTGACGCTAAGCTCCACCAGTACGGCGACGATGTGATCCTGCCGCCCGCTTCTGACCCGATGGCCGTGAGATCGACTATTCGAGATTCACAAAACTATGTGAGTTCTTGGGCGACCTGTTGCTCATTGGTAGGTGTTTCGTATCAGGCCTCATAGCATTGCATGGGCTATAGGTCCTGGAAGACCTGGTACCCTATCACGCAATAATTGATGATTACCAACCAGCAGGGTTAAGACTTGGGTCAAAGACCGAAGGGCCGATAGACAGCTCAGAGATGACAAATGTACTTGATGATAGCTTGGATGGGCTTCTATAATTGACGCTGAAGTAGCAAGCATAATGTTACATCTTCTCATGCATGTTTTAAGGCTCTCAAAATTAGGTCATGTCTCTATCCCAAATCACCAATATGCATGTCAAAAGCCGCCCTCCACCAGGAATCATGATGGGCAATTCTGGTTCTCCAGAGGCCGAAAAGCAGACGACGACAAAGCCGGTGGACGCAGTTCCCCCTCCGCCTCCTGATGGCGGTTTGACTGCGTGGTTGCAAGTTGTGGGAGCCTTTTTACTATTCTTCAACTCCTGGTAAGTGATGAGATGTGTTCAGGCATAGCCAATAACGCCAACCAAATCATGTTGTAGGGGCATTCTGAACGCCTACGGAGTATTTCAGAGCTACTACCAGTCCGACTTGATCCCCACATACTCGTCCTCCGCCATCACCTGGATCGGCACTGTGCAAGGCTTCGTCCTGTTTCTGGTTGGAGTGATCGTGGGTCCTGTCTTTGACAAAGGTTTCCTGCACAGCTTGATCGCCTTCGGAACCTTCATGGTAGTTTTCGGCCTGATGATGACATCGCTCTCAACCCAGTACTATCAGCTCTTCCTTGCCCACGGCATCACAGTGGGTATCGGCTGCGCATTTCTCTTCCTACCCAGCATCGCTATCGTCGCCACCTACTTCACCTCACGCCGCGCCCTCGCTACCGGCATCACAGCGTCAGGAGGTAGCATCGGGGCGGTGATCTACCCCATAATGTTCCACAAGTTGATCAGCCAGGTAGGGTTTGGATGGACAACACGCATCATCGGCTTTGTAGCGCTAGCCGGACTATCCATCTCATTGCTCGTATTGAGACGGCGGTTACCACCGCCAACAAAGAGCAGATCATTACTGGACCTCGCTGCCCTCAAAGAGCCACCCTTCCTCATATTCAGCTTCGGCCTCTTCTTTTGTTTCGTGGGACTCTACTTTCCCTTCTTCTACCTGCAAAGCTACTTCACCTCATATCTACACAATGACAGCAGCCTGGCTTTCTACATCTTCGCTGTCCTCAACGCTACCTCTGTGCTGGGTCGCATCACCCCAGGCCTCATGGCCGACCGTATCGGTGGCCTGAACACACTAGTACCTATTAGTCTCCTTGCGACTATTCTGGCATTCGTGTGGATTGCTGTCCGCAACGTGGGTGGGGCTGTCGTTTTCACTTGTCTCTATGGATACGCTTCTGGGGCCATTGTCTCCCTGCCACCGTCCATCTTGACACGCATGTCTCCGAACCTGGGCGTTGTGGGCACGCGCCTGGGCATGATCTTCATGTTTGCTGGGTGCGGGTTCCTCATTGGTACTCCCATTGCTTCCCTTCTGTTGGATCTGGAGCAGGGTTCTTTCTGGAAGGCTCAGCTCTTCAGTGGTATGTTTGTTGCTGCTGGGACGATCTGTTTCGTTGTTCTGCGGGTGATGCTGTGGCGGCAAGGTGGCGGTTGGAAGATTTGAGACCCATTGAGTAAGAGGGAAAAACTATACACCACAGGGAAGTTTTGGGTGGTGATGAGGCAGAACTAGCAACAAATATTGTCGACCGATATGGCATTATAGAGGAGTAAGCCCGTGTTGTGATGATTAAGATTACTGAGCCCGGACCATGTCGATATTACGGAAGAAAGAAGAATAGATGATTCTAATAAAATCGAGGAATAATTGTGATCGCAACCCCAGTCCTGCTGGTCCGGATCTTCACTTGATTTATGGAAGTCTATTTCTACCTCGCTTTCAAAATTCAGGAGCTAAGGCTCCGAAGTAGCCATTCCCTCCACCCCTGTTCTTCGACAATAAACCTCACACGAGCCTCAAGCCACTCGGTATTTCCCCAGAACCCCCAAGAAGCCTGAAACCTGCACCAGTCCACTAGAGCTGTCTCCCAGTGTCGTACAAAGGTTTCCCAATCATACCAGCGCTCTCCTTTATCCTGGAGCAACATCCTATGGTAATGCTCTAGCAAAGTTCGCTCACCTTCACACATCTCCAGTCGCTCTGGTAGCAAGTCGTCCTCATCGTCAACAAGCATCTTCAGTGGAACTGAGCATGTGAAGAGTTTAGCCAGGTCGCAAACTCCCAGACCTAACCCGACATATTGAAAGTCAAAGAACGCTACTTCATCTCCCTTAATTGTCGTAAAGAGGTTCTCCGACTTGACATCGCCATGGATAAGTGACTCCATCTGCCTTCCACAGGGTGTCAAGAGCAATGCAGCCATCTCAGCCACGGATTGAGAAGACCCATCTGAGGCTGTACACAAGATATCGGACCACTCCGAGTCCGTATCCTCCAAAAGCGAAGCGTACTCCTCCCGGCGAGTCGCCAGATAGGTGTATCCTCCGTTAAGCCACAGTGCATTCCCTGTCTCCGTCTTCCCCTGGTCCCGCCTCCTCTTCGCTTCCTCAAGAGGCGACAGGACATACCCATCCAGACTCCTATCGTCAGACAACAGCCCCCACGACCGACTATGGAACCGCGCCAACCAGTCCAGAGCCCCACAGACCTGAACACGACTCAACACGCTCCTCTTCTCCCCCGCAACCGGAAACGCAGGCCGCAAATCAACCATGATCGTCGCCATCAAGCCACGAAGTTCCTCTTCACCTTGCCTCTCATGCATATCTCGCGTTGACGCCAAACATTTAGCAACAGCAATATCGTCCCCTAGTCGGGGGACTACATCGCTGTAAAAGTATTGCTCCACCTCATAACTCAGCATCTTCCGGAGATGTCCCTCGTCTTCCTTACCCGCTGCTTTGCGAGGCGGTGAGATGAGCTTCAAAATCAGAGGAAAAGTGCTCCCCGCAGCTCTCGAATCCACTCCGCAGAGCTTCCCGAGATGCTCCGCCGCTTCGGCGGTGGTGGCTCGGGCGGTGAGGGCGCAGATGTGCCCGTACCCGGCCCACAGGGTCTGGAGGGTGATACAGGAGACGAGATCGAGGGAGTGCCACGACAGCATGATGCTGGCGACCCGGGCGGGGTCATTGGTGGGTGGTGGTGGCATGGTAGATATCTTTCAGGCCACTGTTTATGATATTTCTAGAGGAGTGTGGTTCCTGGGAGGCAGCTTGGAACAATGTGAGATCCAGCTGATAAGATCGGAGAGAATCTAAATCTGGAATGTAGTTTTGGAATTCCATGGGAAAGAAGTGCTAGGGTGGACCATGTATGCCAGGAGTGCATTATCGTTCACGTGAGTATGGATGATGAGATATGATAGATGCGACATCAAGTGCTGTGACATGATTCAGTGAGTGGTGTTTCATGTACAATCAATCAACCTACTTCTTAGTACATGGCCACGGTTACATGGGGAACCTTAATATATTTTGGGGCTTGAGGACTGCTTAACACCTATGAATCCGCTTCTCTACACTATGTGGCAATGTATACTTGGAAGAATATTGTGTAGAAGATGCCGATTCGGGTTTAGATATCAATTTCTTCCTAAAGCCCAAAAGGGTGTCCACAAACATTGCATATGCCTATCCAGACGAAAATAAGGACAAGATAATTAATCTGAAGGCAAAGCTTCGCGACTTCCATTCTTTTGAGATACGAACTGTGTAAAGCCATGAGAGATGTAAGACAATAATCATTAAAACTAAATAGGGAAGCAGAGAACAAATTCTGCGCAATTAAAGTAGAAATTAAAGCCACGAACAGACGAATGAATCAAATAGCTGAATAAGAAACCCAAGTTCGTATGGCACCCACTCCAGAATCGATTGCGCCAGAACCAAATTGAAGCAGAACCCCTTCGATGTCTCAAGCACATAGGAACCCAAAAAAAGTGAGTTTCTTACTCTAACGCTACTTAGTGTCGTTATTGAAAGTCTCACCAGAAGAAACCATTTCTCCTGATTCTTCATCTGAGACCCCACTCCGTGCCTCTGAGAGATTCTGACCATTATCGGACCCCCCGGTGTATCTAGTAAGACTTCGGTGCAAACTGTGGAGTACGTTATTAGATCCGGTCTGTCTGCGAAGAGCTTTCCAAGTAGTGCGGGCCGATTGAGATGAATTCCGAATTTCTTTGACTGCAGATGGTAGAGTAATCAAAATGACCAACAATATCACGAAGGCGACAATTGTGCACACAATCATCTGCCGAATAAGATCTCCCGTCGGCTTGGCTTGCATGCTAAAGAAGCTAGTAGCGAAGGACAGCGGAAGAAAGAAAACGGTCGAATAGGTGAAGTACTTGATGTTGTCATTTTGTCGGAAGTTGCGATCGTCCATTTGCTGGTTGTAAATGGCTGTTGTGATTTCTCGATGGGAAGTGACTGATTTTTTGAGTGAGGCCACCCGCGTTTGACAGACTTTGAAGTCCCGCACCGCACTTTCACCGAGGAGCAACGACCTCTGGACTGCTTCTCGATACTTGATCTCATGTCTTTTAGTCCACCTGGGCTGATTGCCTCTGCGGTTCTCCTCCCGCACTCTCCATTCTTTAATCATTTCGTATATGTTGTTGAGATCTTCGGTCAAAGTGTCAAGTACTTCGTTCCATGATATCCACACTCTGTGTGATTTGAAATACTCATTCGGTGTGAGCTTATCCAAATCCTGCATGGCTTGCTGAAGATCTGTGTGAATAGCTTCGCAGATTTCTGAGGTGCTCATGTTGACCTCAGTGAGGACACGATAGAACAACAACTGCTCCAAGATTCTCCGCTTTTGCCACATCGAGTCCCCGCAGTCGAGAAAGAAGGCTTTCAGATCTTGACTTAAGGGAGACAAATATTTCGTCATCGGCTCGATGTGAACATTAAAATAGCTTTCAAAAAACTGGCAAGTCCAGTAATGATCAAAGATGTCTCCCAGAAACCTAAAGCTAGCGGATGCCCGCAGAAGTTCCTGATCGTTGTACTTTGGCGACCATCCCCTGATTGAGTTATGAAGAATTGGGCATCTTGCTCTGTTTTGTTTCTCTGACCTGGAAAACTGTAGAAAGCTGCAATGAAATTCAGTCTCCCACATGTTCAAATATATGCTTGTTTTTTCGTGCAAGTACAAAGTCCGCTTGGCGTGACGATCCAGAAATGATCTGATGCTCGACTGTTCGGCTTCAGGGGACGACAAATGGCACATCAATGCGGTGTCTATCAACGGACAAAGAAACCAAAGGAGTCTTTTTTTAGCATTATCAGCAGTACGAAACCTGCAGAGTAGATTCCAAAGATCTTTGATATCGCTAGACTCCTCAGTAGTCCGGTTCCTATGCCAAGACTTCTCCGTGGGCCTTCTCCTGCTGATATCCACTAACCAATGCCGGTGAATTTCTGGATCCGGGGGTGTTAGTGGCTCATAAATAGTGCTTGCTTCTGCCCGCTGTTCCCAGCTCCTGTATCCTCTTACAATTACTTCTTCGTCCTCTTGCTTGGAGAGTCGTTGACCCTGTAATATATACCGCTCCCATAAAGGGTCAAAACGAAGGCGGACTCTGTCAGGTTGCCAGGAGAGGAAGATAGGATAATTATATAACCACTCGCCTTTCAATAGAACTAGGCTCCTTTCGTCAAGCCGGTTATTGAATGGCGTTCTGCTCATAACGATTGTCTGTCGGGTCGTGATATCCTTCATCGTGGCGTGCATTTTCTGTGGCGTTACCTTGTCTCGTGTGCTCCATATGATGTACAACATTTCGAATGGAATATGTAGGTTGCGATCCCGATAGTAGTCATGGGGGACTGCTTCACTGCTGTCATTGATGTTGTTGGAAAACAAGCCATTGGTTAGTACCCCGGCTTTAATGAACTTTTGCGCCTCCTCCAGTGCTTCTGCTGGTTGATGCAGAGTGTTGGTTGAGAATCCTTTGACAGCCATCAGAAGCCTCAGGCCGTAGCGTAATGAGTTGTCTGATTCAGTGTCGCGTTTGGAGGGGAATAACTTCTGGGCATTCAGTGTCCTTTCCCAAGGCGCGTTCATGTCGTCCAAAAACAAATGTCCTCCCAACTGGTAGAACAATGCTGTGTCGCGCGAGTGGAATTCAAATCGACTCTCCTGTGGCGATCTTGTCAATGCGAACATTTTTCCACCATTAATGTTCGGGTTCGTGGCCGGGAATCTATTAAAAACCTCCTGTCTTACCCTTTCCGGATCATACTTCTGTTGCAATCTTGTCATCTCTTCCTGATTGTATTCCATTCGTCCATTTTGGCTATACCTTCTTGCCAATCGGTATATACCTTCCTTTCTGGTCTCCGCATTCCATTTGAGCATCGTACTCAGAGCTTTCAATGAGCCCCAAATCCAGGCTTGGTCGTCTAGTCGGTAATAGTCCATTCCAACTCGGCGCCCGTGACTCCAGACGCATCCATTCCTCGCATCCTCCTGCTCAAGCTGTTGAAGCCATTTCACCACGGCAAAACCCTCGCCACTACCAGCTTCACTCAGAAGGTCAATAACATCTGAACCATTGTTGGTTTGATCAAAAACACGATGGTACTCATAAGCTTTAAGAATTTGAAACGGTGTATCGGTGGGCCCATCATTCAATAGACGTATTGATGGGGGCATGATTCTACCACTTATCCAGTAGTTGCGGGCATATTTTCCTTCACGTACCTCTGCCTTTAAGAGTACCCATCGGAGATGGCCCAAGCAAGCATCTCGTATGCGGTTTCGGAGTCCGTGGTCTTTCGGGATGTTTTCAGCGACCTCAACCAGAAACCTGAAAGCAAAGCTCGTGATCTGTCAGCTGTGGTATGTTCATGCCCGAGCGCGAGACTTACTAGCTAGCCGAGTGACAAATCCGGTGCCCCGACAAACCACCGCAAGTCAAAGCAAGTATTTGATCCTTTGCGAGTCCTTTCTCTCTTCCTTTTCTAGCTGCCTCGTAGTCCCATATGTAGTCGTCAGATACGGGAACCATGCAAACTGAAAGGATATTTTCCACATTTCTTTCCACAAAAAATTTAGATAGTGGACGTTTTCCGAGTGGAAATTCATTTGGTAGGCTAACTCCCTCCCCTATCGTTCGGCTGAAGTATTCGTTGATGTCCAAATCCTTAGCCGTCAATGTAAGAAGAGCGAGATTGTCTGCTTGCTTCGAAATGAGAGCCAGTCTGTAACCCACCACCAAGTCTGTATAGCCCCTTGGTTTGATTTGTATGTCTTCTGTTTCAATCCGGTCTATTGTCCACGGCTCTCCGTTCACAAAGAATCCCACCACTACGGTCACCCCGTCAGGCTGGCAGGGCTGTTCAGCGTCATTTGCTTCTGTGCGTCTTGCTTTGTGGCGATATGCTCCTAGACCTTTCGATGGAAACTCATGGATTTTGACAAAACCGTATCCGCCAGGTCCAGCACCTTCTGCGTAACGCTGGTCGTCATTGTCATCATCGTTGAACGGACAGTCTCGACTAATGAAGTCTAGTTCTCTGATACGAAAACCAAGGTCCTTTGCGAGAGATGTGCTGATATAGTCGCAGTTGCTCTTATTATGCATTCGGGAGTGTGCTATCACAACACCTTCTTTAACAGCCCATTGCTGTTCGAGTTTCCACCCCTCTGCCTCACTTGTCAGGCGAGGCCAACGACTGCGTAGCCACTGTATTCGCAGGTCATGGTTTAGTGTCGGGGCTTCTAAGCCTAGACCAAAGCCATATCCAATACGCTGCATATGCGTAAACGACTTATTGCGACGGTAAGCCAAGAAGGGCACGGGGAGCGATTCATGCTCAATCGAAAAAATAGACGACTGGCCACAGCCCAGATATCGCGATATCTGCATACACTCACCCCTATATGTCAAGCTCACAGTTGTACCTCCATCCCCAAAAGGCAGATGGATAGGCTTAGAGTTTTTCTTCTCACAGTCCCTGTCAGAATGATGCTCTGTTAGTTCCCCAGGCTGGGGCTCGTACAACGTGAAACCCGAAGGTTTCTGTGCGCAAATCTGTACCATACTGGTGAGCGATGCATGGATAACGGGGGGAAAGAATTTACCCACATATCGTTTAGCAATAACGGAGTCCCAAAACTGAGGGAGGTAGTCCGATAAGACAGTATTCTCTTCTAAGATATCTTTCTTGGCTTTTGTATCCCCGCTTAACTTGGGGAAGGCTGACGCGCTTTTCATTTTCCCCTTCTGTGGAGAAAGAGACTGGTTGGTTCCTTGTTAGATTACCTTTGTCCTTTGTGAGGGCCAATGTGCTTCTGAAATAATTTGCTATAGCCGCCCGGGAGCATTTCACGCATCGGTGGATACGGGTGACCACCTACTAAAATATCAACCCAGAAAGCCTCGTTTCTCATTGCTTATTCTGGCTACGTCAGCCGAAACTCCTTCTGGACCACCCGTCCGGTCGCCCCCATTTTGGTGCCCAATATCTTCCTAGTATCATTTGATCAAAGCCTGTCAGATATGCGGAGATTCTTCTCCTTTGTGCAGTTCAAGAGCCCCTTTGGCCCCGTTATTGGATACGGCCTGTATCCCTGCCTTTAAGAGACTTAATATCGCTCCGGACCCCCAGCTCCGATAAAGGTCATTTAGTAATCATTTAGGTTGGATAATGAATGTTTAACAGCCTTGCTTTCCAAACGCCATGAGTTCACTTTTCCCCGCTCGCCGCTCTATCTGTCTTTTGGTATATCATGATCAGTGACTCTGGTACACTAGTATACAATCTTCGAAACGAACGTACATGTTCTGCTATAGAAAAGAATCTTCATCGCATCTAGCCAATAGCTTTGCGAAGATAAGGTCGACTGAAATGATCTGACCACAAGTGGAGAACGGATGTTCGCAAAAAAGCAAATTGGTCAGCCTCAGCTCTAAGTGGTTCACGCCACCAACTCTCAAGTCCAATGAAAGAGATCAACTAGGGTCTGCAAATGGAAAAGTGCATTTTGACATTAGAGAGGAGGAGTAATCGGGCAGCAATCACGCCCAGTGAAAAGCAGTGTTGCAACTAGGAAAGACTAACACGCAACGACTTGGAAAATTGAACAAGAAGACGATTTGGTTCACAGTGAATTTTGCATTTATCTGGAGATCCCTTTCTGATGATTCTAGGTTAGCTCGCGTCTCAGAAACGACCTCCCAACCGGCCCCCACAAACAGAGTAAGGGGAAAGTAAAAAGAGACATCAAAGGCTGGGGGCTTCTGGTAAGATTTGGCGATGGGTGACTAGTGTACTTTCTAGCTACTCTAATGCACCACTCAACATGCATTCTACCAGAAGACTCAAAAGTTAATTGACATTACGAATAAGCATGTGCTTATCAGCGCCGGTAACTACCGAGCGTGGCGGAGAGTGTGGTACTTCGGCTTAAATTACCCCACAGGTACGCTTTCAAATTACCTTACAAAATGTTGATTTTGTAGTACTGACACTTGACTATGAGGTTCTTTGACATGACTATCATACCAGAATCTAAGTAAATCAGATATTTTGTCTATTTTGATCACTAGCGCGTAGGCTCTGAATTTGGGCCAGGAAGGGCCCAATGGACACTCCTGTCTAAATGTACCATCAGCGCGTAGGAGCTCGCAAAACAGAAGCTAAAATCTGGTCTAAGTGGCACTGAGAATAAAAGGTGAATGTCACGCATCAATTGGGTAACACCTTTTCTCGCACAGTCAACTCAGCCGGCCAATTTGTGTTCAACACACTTCCGATTGCATCAAACTCTTGCTGCCAGCCGCTAGGGTCAGGCGGCACCGATCCATTGGGGTCATAATTAACAGATTCTGCATCCACCTGCACTTCGTTACCCAGACTCATCGTACCTTCAGCAATGGCGTTGCCAAGGTTGTTCAGTAAGCCTGGACCCTCTGCCCAAGCATCAAAGGGATCTTCCCACACCTTCACCCGCAGATTTTGCGACCCTTTGCGGAAGAAGAATTTATCAGGCAGAGGCTCATGAATTGGCTGCATAGCTGCCTCAGGATAATCTATTAAACCTAGAATAAGCCCCTGATCTAGTTTGTCTTTGATCTTTTCTTTAGTTGCTTGATCAAAGTGTACGCTGTCCGCCGTGAGCGACGCGTTGGGGGCACGGAGCATCATGTGGCTAATGTGAGCTTGTTTATCTGTGCCGTAAAGGTAGAATGGTGTGAAGCTCTGGGGATAGTCTTGATCTCGATGCTGTAGGTTGAGAGGTCGGCTCTTCACGATTCTTTTTAGTGTCACGCCGGTATACAGCCTCCTACCCTACCGTTAGCTTCTTCGATCCTCAGCAAAATCAAGTGGGGTGATCTACCTGTGGCCATCTGCGTAAATATGTCCTAGGAAGAACAATCGGCGATCTAGCTTTTCCGGACAGTCGTGGAAGTGTGGAAAATAGGAAAGAGTTTCTTCTTCAGGAACTTCCGGTTCTGCTTCGCCTATATTGTGATCCTCATCTTTATCCTGACCTTCTTTCTTCCCCTTTTCTGTCATTAGTGGCCTTGAACTCTTCCATGCCAAGAGTTTCAACTTCTTTTCAAGATTGATGTTGTGATGTGACTCCAACGTTATCTGCTTGTATTTCCCACTTCTTTTCAAGCTCACGTAATCGTCTTTGTGCCAAATATCGGCGGTCACGATGATTTGTTCCTTCTTAGTCGCTTCATGGAAGGAGGGCTGGTAAACCAAAAACACCTCATCCGTACCCTGCATAAGGAACGATGCCTGCTGACGGCCCTGTTTGTTGCGTTCCCGACTGACAATCACCTCCTGCATCACCACTTTCTTAAACTCTCGCATCAACTCATCGATAAATTTCATATCCGTAGGAAATGGGCTCATGACGACATTTCTCAATACAAATAGATTTTGCGGCATCTTCTTCACGCCTAGTCGGTGCATGAACTCTTGTGCGCATTCGCCGTACAACTCAGGCTCGAATTCCGTCGAGGTCAAGTACAGCGGTCGCGTTGTCGGATTACTGTCTGAAGAGTTAACGGAGAATCTGTTAACAACCCTCTTCATGAGATTGTTTGCTTCTTCCAGATCCTCGTTCAGGTTTCCGTGCTCATCGAACCAGTTTAGAGCAAAGGCGTTGATGTTCAAGTCCGATCCCAACTCGCGGAGCAATTCCATCAGCTTTCCATCCTCATCTGCTGCAGCAATATCGTCATTTGACTTTCTTAGAATCTTGTCTCGAATGAGGTCCCTTTCTTTTCTTGCTTCTGTGGAGAAGTAACCGTTTCCATTCTCTGCGGGTGGTCGATTTAAGGGAACGCAGATGAACATCCTATCAGGGGTGTCATTCTCATCTCCTATCGCGGCCCAGTACGCTGATAACTAGATTTTGATTATTAGCCGGTGGCCCTGGCCCCTACTTGAGGTTAAATTACTTACTCTAGCACTGGTAAATGCCGCCTCTCCAAGGAGTGCTCCATAGCCGTATTGATCGAGACCGATGGTTTTGTTTGAGAGCCACGTCGACATTGCTGCAGCTCCTGGCTTACTGCGCGAATATTAGTCTCGTAGGAAAGCCGACACGACTCGGTGCTGCAAAGCTTTACTCACCTTCCCTCAACGCCGAAGATTCCCATACTGGAGTCTACATTTCCTTGAGAAAGGTAAGGGCTGGTCCAAGTAACCAAAAACCTCATTCGGCCATCCCGGTACACCAAGCTGCCTGCCGGGTATGGAACGTAACCGGCTTTGTGTGGGTCAACTGTAATAGAGTCCACGTGTTTGAGGGCTTTGAGGTCCTCAGCTGTTTGTCTTTTCAGGGTCAAACTTGGAACAAAACCTTTGGAGGTCGTTTGTTTCTTAAGGTCTTCAGCTTGTTGCTCTAGCTCTTTACCTCTCGGCAGCATGGTGGCGAAATACCCACCCCATGCCGCATCGGCGTGGAGCAAGAATGACATTCCCATCTTCTCGAAATCATCCCTGATCTTCACAATCTCCTTCAGGTTGTCAACAGCACCTTCTTCAGTTGATCCCATGATAGCAACAACCCCATACACGGGTCGCTTTTCGTCGTAACAGGTTTGAAGTTCCTTTCGTAGTTCTTCAATGTCGAGCCTCGCCTCTAGGTCTACTTTGATTCCATACATGAAGTCGGAGCCGAGACCAGCGATTGCTATTCCATTCACAGTGAGCGTCAGCGCGATCAGAAATGGGGAATCACTTACCGGCACCCTTGGGCCAAGAGTAATGACGAGTCTTTCCCACCATGTACCTGAATGGGAACTTCACGTCGTTTGTAACATCAGTTTCCAGGAAATCCTCTTCCAGTTGGCTTTTACTAATATTTTGGATATTGTAATCCACCATCACCTTGTCTAGGAAATCATTGGAAATATTATGGTGATCATATAGATGCTGGGGAATGCCAAGCACGGTGTCAGGCCGAAGATTTAGCAGCTCCCATGCGGTCATCTCATCAAATATCTTGGTCTCGCCCTGACAGTTCTCGATTTCGAACTTGCCGGTCAGGAATTGTAGCTTTCCTTTCTTGATAGCAAGGTAGAGCGATAGTGGGTAGTACTTCAGGTTGCGGGCTGGTAAGTCCTTCAGTAAGCTCCCATCTAGATATTCGCACGGGCTGCCTATACTTACCCACCCAGATAGACTCCAAATTGGCGATTGTCCCATCAGCAGTAATGTGACCCCATCCCCGGGGCGAAGCATTGGGGGCAACGTCGTACCCAAACATCTCGCAAAGCTGCTCTCCGGCTTTAATCTCCGCGTAGGTCGTGAATGGACTTGCTTCTAGAGCAACATTGTTCGGGTTGTACAGCATAGTCATGAAATAGCCCAGAAGAGCTGGCATGGTCATGTCGGTGCACATATGTCCTTCGTATCTAGGTGACCAGAACGGGACTGACTGCTGACCCATCAGGTGCGCAACCTTCTGTACCACCTCGCTAAAGTTCTTCACAATCAACTGGTACAGTTCCTTGTTCTTTACATCTTCCGGTATGAATGGCTTTAGCAAAGATTAGCTCCTCATTCGACAAGTCGTGTGGGCTATGCTTAGCTACTTACTTTATCAGTAGGAAAGTAAGCCAATCTAGCATTCTTCAGTTCTTCCAGTATAGTTTCGATATTCTTCTGGAAGTATTCGAGATTTCCCGCCTTAGGCCCTATGAAATAAGAGCTGATAATCTGGTGATTGCGATCACGCTGCTCAGGAGTA